AAAGAGCTCGCGGTGAAAATATTGAACGTAATATATAATTCTTCTACTAAAATGATAAAAAAAATAATGATACAGAAAAAAAGAAGACGCGATGAAAAGGAAATAAGAAATTGTACAAACTGTATATTATTTTCATTTTGGGAACTGAAGAATCAACGACGAGGTAGCTCACTATGTTCATGGAATAAAATAAGTCGAGACGTGTGTACGAGCTGCCAACAACAAGCGAAACTCACATGGTGAATTATTCATGGCGAGTCGGGAATTCCGATCTCGTAACTTTCTGAATTGCCTTTAACGATAAATGGATTCATATAAATTTTTTTTAGCGATAACCGATGGTGCCTTACGGTTGTTAAAATTCGAGATTCATTCTTACAGCGCGACTACGTGTCTGACGTACGAAACAGAGCTTCGAAAACCTCTCTATCGAAATGTTCAAAAAAAAAAATAATTCAAAGTTTAATTAAAAACAATTCTATCATTTTGTGTAAAATTATGTGTAATCATATTTGTGTAAAACAATTGAAAAATTTATTATTAAAAAAATCCCTATCTCTATCTAAACGTCGAATAACAATTTAATAATGTTTCTTAAACGTAATGAAAAACTGAAGTACGAAATCATCTCTTTAATGAAATGGAAATTAGTCAAAATTCAAATCAGTTGATTTCAGATTTAGCTGTTTCTTTCCAGCGGAATCATTTGTCAAAGATTTGCGAATTGTACTTCGAAGCGAATAATAATACGCGACGACAGAGATAACTGACGAAATTCTTCTTTTTTTTTCTCTCTCTCTCTCATCCCTAATCAACTGCTCTTGATATGTATATATATATGTAACATCGGTTACCTTGACACAGTGGCACAAATGTAAACAGAGGCAGGCAGTCCGCTCTGGTCTGACCCGGTTTTGATATCCTCTACTTACTGGTCCTTATTTCGCCATTCCGCATGCGTTACCCTTGCATTCTTGATTCTCAAAAGGCACAACGCGCTTCTGCGCACTTGTAACAATAAAGACGCGCACTACGAATGCCACGGGACTCTTGACTTCGTGTATCTAAAAATATTTGCAAAGATTCGAAAATAGATTCCATATTTCTCGAGAGGAATTGAAATTTTTCTTAATTATTACATTCAACGAATATTGAATTTACGTTCAATGCAACATTTACCCTATTTTTATATTACAGAATACATTTGATAATTTTTATTATAGAACACGTGTCTGATCGATATCTTAAATATAGAAATATACCCTGAGGGAATCTAGAATTTAAAACAAAGATAAAAGTAATTTTATTTAATAGGTCTCTTCATGACTTCTTTTACAAACGTCGAACAAACATCACGATAAACGAATTTATCGTGTCAACGATATTCGTCGGATCGAAACTGCAAGACTCTCGACCCGTTCGTTTTTAAACGGCAGTTCTCGAACTACGGTGCCTCGATACCTAATATCTGTTGCTTCAAACAGGACCTTGACAGGAGTAACGTTTGATGGATAGAAAGTGGATCGATGGATCTTTGAGGGCTCAATTGAATGTACGTTTCTAAAGTAACTTCGTGACCCCCTTTTTTCCGCCTCTTCCTTCGCCACGTCGAGAGAGCGAAAAAGAGACCAGCCCCTGAATGAACGTACTTGAAAATCAGAGAATCTCTTTCTCTTTCTCTGCAGCCCCGGGCTGAAATCTTACACGCCACTAATTGCTACCATTGTCTCTGATGGGAAAGACCGAAGCACCGTTACCAACCCTGCAACCACCCTCTTCTTTCTCCCTAAATCTTATCCCGCTTGTCCATCTACGTTCTCTTCCATTTTACCGAAAATCTCGGTTACTTGCTGCGCCACGTAGACAACTGGTCGGTTCTTTAACCAGCTATATACCGCGATTCACTCAGTCAAACGTACAACGAACTACCCTTTTTTCGTTTCCAATTCCACTCTTTAAACTCGTTTCTTAAATTCCTTTCCGTTCGCGTTTCGATTTTACCTCGAAATTAATCCTCGGATCAAATTCGATTGGACAGTGTATTATTTATCTTTTGCGTAGGTAAATAGAAAGCGAAGATTTCATGTCAGATTTTTCTTTTACGGAATATTTTCTATATTCTAGTATGTCGTATGGACGAAAATTTAATTTATTTTGCAATTTTGTAATTATTTTCCTTTTATAATGATACTGTTCCATATTAATTACATTGCTTCAACTATAACTAACAAATGTCAACTAACTTCCTCGTGTCGAAAGACCAATAATATGCGAATAATTAATTTAATTTAATTACAATGTTGTCGAAGATATATATATATATATATATATATATATATATATATATATATATATATAAAAGGAAGTAATATATTTTCAAATTAACAAACAAGAGAAATATATGTATGTGCTTCGCGTCAGACCATAAAGAACACATTCTACTTGATCTTAATATACGTGATAACTTTTGCGCAGAATCTGGATAAGTTTTAAAAGCAAGACACAGCTAAGTTATCAACAGAAACAGTAACATACTGAAGAATCTTCTTGCTTTCGCTGTTATTACTCATTTTTTCTTGCTTTTTGTTTTTTGACATAATACCACTATTGTTCACCGCTTGTTTCGCGTTTCTTCCACTCGAGGATTCCGCGGACGGTTCTTTTATTCGCTGGATCCTATATACAGTGTCTTAGTTATTTTTACTTAGCTTCCATTGCAAGTTTCGTTCCTATGAAAATTACCAAATCCAAAGCGAACGATTATTTACCATCAAGTACCATAAACAGTGACATACTTGGTGCGTAAAATTAGCAAAGAATTAACTTGAAATATCATCAATTGAATATCAACACAAGTACGATAAAGAGAAATACCAACGCAATTCACTGCTGATAAGAATAATATTTAAATTCAATATGCTCAAAGTATAATATTAAAAATTAACGGTGGGCATGCGCGCGGTTTACAAGTTACATCGCCCGTATCTATAGCTCTTGAAAAGCGGACTGCTTCTTCGAAGGGGAAACCATCCGGATTGCTGATGTTCGTTGTATGCCCGTCGAAGTATCTGAGCAAAGTTCACCGACTCCGCTGGCTTGGCCTATTTTTTCAGACACACGCCGTGGTGCACTTTCTTCCTTCCGCCCGTTCCTCCTGCACGCCAGCCCCCTCTTCAACCACCTCTTTTGCCAATCTCCCCTCTTTTTTTTTTTTTTTTTTTTTTGAAAGAAGCTGAGTGCATGACTACACCTGAGCTAAGCCACACGTACTTTGTGTCAAAACGTCTGAGATAAAAGGGGGAGAAGCATTACCGTGCGCGCGGGAAATGAACGACCCTACGCGTCCCTTTCTCAGATGAAAGTGTAGAATCTTCGATGTACGTGACACGAGAAAATAACACCTCAACTTCTTCCTGGCGATACTCGTGCGAAGCTTAAGAAATCATGAACGTTAACGTTCTCACGTGCAGAGCGAGAGAAATACAAAGGGTGTAGAAGACTGTAAAATGGGTTCCTGAACCATAAATTACTATTACGCTGTGATAAATTGGAAATAGCACTCGACTGATATGACTTTGGACGGGTAATTGTAATAAAATGAATTAATTAACTTTAACATTCCAAAGTATTCTAAAAATTAAATAACTCGATTCGAGTATATTATAAAGATTATAAATCTCTCACGATCCAACAGTGTTGAATCAATAAAAAGATCTATGCATGTACAAAAAATTTGAAACTATAAAATTACAGAGAATGGGGTATAAAGCAAATCTCTGCTCAGGCACAATTTCCAATAGTAACATTCATAAATATCCACAATCTACTAATTACGCGAAATAAAGGAAGTAATTATCCAATTTTAATTTTAATTAAAATTTTAAATGACGAATTAAATTAATTGTAGATTATTGACGTAAATAATCAATTAAAAAATTTTCAACGAAAAGAGTTTGCATGGGATAATAATAATGCAATAAATCACGTATATTTCGAAAAAATGTCGTCTTAAAGCGTCTATTCCTGTTCGAGGCAGACAACCTATACGACGGGCTAAGGGTAGTTGTCTAAGGGTTCTCCAGCCTTCTTTGGTCTACCGACTATGTGCTTGTACCTCGATGCATATGTATGCCTCTACATAACGCATATATTCGTAACAGAGACCTGTTCGACCGGAAACGACGTACATATACACAAGAGAACATCGGTATACAAGTGACGAAGGAAGGTGGATACACACATTCGTATGGAGTCAGTCACGTCGAAAGACGAGATTAGGGACCCTTCACGACGTAACCAGAGATGAAACCGCAACGGCTAGGGACTCTAATTTCGCTGCGGAGTTTCTTACGAATGTTGAAAATCCTTTCATGTCGTCGGCAAAGGCACAAATCGGCGGAGAACTTTTTCGAGGGGAGATTTTATCGCTGGCGGTGCCGCCTCGTTAACTTCTATCGACATTTCCGGCTTCCATCTGACTTCCGTTCTTCGCCAGTTCTATCGAGCTGTTTATTCGTTACACTGGTCGGAAGAAACGATATCGCTGTAACAGCTGATGATAACAATTCGTGATTGTACGCGATGATAAAACTAAAATCTGTTTCCATCGTTCTCTTTTTTCTTTTCTTTTTTTTTTGAGAAGCGACGATGATCACTAGATTACAAATATTTATGAGTTTATGAAAAAGTTTTGAAGGTGCAAAAATGCGCACAATAGCAAAAAAAAAAATTTAACAAAACGTCAACAGCTGTTATGTCGTAATGTTCAACGAATAAAGCAATTTCCTCTATAAATTCTGTTCTTTAAGCTGCGTTCATAAAGTAAAAATGATTACAATAGCTGTATTTATATCTAATTATATAAACACGGATCCGGTCGGGAAATTGAATAAACGCGGACACACCGTTGTTATATATAAAGATCGTTAATCCACTGGTAATCTTGGTTCTGTAACTGTAATCGGATCATGCTCTCTACGGATTTACTCCGTGTGTTTCAGGTTCGGCGGTCTGATTGGATTTGTGGTCGGGCCTGGATTTAGTATTAAGAAGGATGGGTTGGACACTCACCGTTCTTGGGGTGGCTTTAGCCATTGCCGTCGTGGCTAGCGCCGCCCTAACATTCTCTAGAAGAAGGTAATTGTACAACATCGTTTTAACAAACACCGTTCGTTGATAGCTGACATATCCCTTGACGATAATAACTTTTTTAATTCACTTGCCGGTCTTAAGCTTATGCTCAGAAGTTTGGAGCACTCTATTCCTTTAAACGAAAAAAACTTCTTCGTACATTTTCATTTTTGCAAAAGATTATTAAATACAATTGTTGCGATAACTCACTATGTATATAATATAATTCATTAAAGTTTTAGTATCATGGAAAAATAATACTACGAGTGAAATATTTATCTCCTTGAAAAAGTCATCGGTTCTCTTGAAGTTCCAAAGTGATCTAAATTTTTGAGTAAAAGCGTATACCGTTCCCAATAACTAAACTGCGAATATTAATTTATATTAGCGAATATAAATTTATATTCTGTCGAAATTCATGTTGGAATGTAATTAACTGAATTTTTGCTCTCTAAATTATCTGGACGTGAATTGTTGTTAAGTGAACGAGAAAACTGTTCGTCTACTGTGCGAATTTCAATTATTTACAAGAACTGTTTGTTTAAATAAATGAAATTCATTTTATCATTTAATAATGATAAAAGATTTTTCTAAAGATTTTGAAAAGATACAGACGTTCATAATGTTTACAATAAGAGGCGTTGATTGATGACCAAGTAGATTTAGAATTGAATAACAGAATGATGAAGCGTAAGAATCAGGCTATTTCTAATGGCTTCCATTCCTCTTCCGTTCGTTCTCCCGTAAAAGACCGATAGTAACAATTCTTACAATTGTACAGGCCCGCTGTACATGATCCATGATAGCTCCAAGGGTCTTCCACGTGATAACCTCGAGTGATGTTTTCTTGTTTCTGTATTTTCTCGCATTACACAAGAGGTACATTCGCGAAGACCGGTAAATGCAACACGTGCAACAGGTTAAAGGGTCATTCAGCAATTGTATCAGAAACTTCCTGTCTTGCCCTTTTCTGTCTTCGAGTTCATTCTTCGTCGCGTAAAACGATCGCTTCGCGTAGAAACGAGGCAATATTAAGCATGACAACGGGAATCGTTCATCGTTAGATTCGTTAAAAGACAAAGCACGAACCTGAGAATTTATAACAAACGTAATAACAAGTTGCCAGCCTGAAGTTCGTGCTTTCAATTCGATTGTCGAAGCTACGATTATTCTACTGCCTCTAGGCTCTTCTTAAATAAATCTTATTTGTTAAAAAAGTTCTGTCAACTTAGTTTTTACACAACGATACTTTTAATTTTAATCGTTGATCGTTAAATGCGGAACAATATTCTTAGTTTTAATCATAAAAAAGTATCGTGAAAAAAATTAATACATAAGAGCAAATAATAGTGGGATTATACCACAACGAACGAATGCCATGCTATAATTAATGAACAATTCTTTTCATTAAAGCAAAACACTTATAATGAATGTTACAAAAAAAACAGGGAAAAATACAAGTTAAGCGTACGTATATACAAAATTTAAGTACAACAGGCTAAATTTATAATACTTTTGTTATATAAAAAAATGAATTCTATAACGAACAAAGTTAACGAATTAATTCGTTATAAAATACCCCCTTGTACATAAATATAAACTTATAATTCAATCAGATTCTACGGGAGGTAGAAATTTCAGCAAAAAGGACTACCCTAAGCCCTTTTCATGCGAGATCTGTTAAATGACTATTAACCGAGAATGCAGCGAAATTTTATTTCACCTTTAATATCGCGCTTACTAAAATTGATTTTCCTCGCTGACCCCTTTGACGAGCGCACATCTCTATTCACTTAATAATAGCATATTCCCACGTGCTTGCGAGTGCGCTATTAGTCTACCATAGGGGCGCTCCGTGTGACCAAACACTTCTCCTACTATCATATCGGACGTTAAAAAAAAAAGGAAGAAGAAAAAAATGACTAGATTCATGATGACTTTTATTACAACGTAGAATTGATCGATTAACCAGAAACCAATGGACCCGTTAAATGTCAGTGTTTTCAATATAGTTTTCAAATATCTTGACCTAATAATCTAATTCCACCGTATCGTATGAGTGATAACACGATTATCCAACGATCCAACGATAATAAAACTGTAAAAACTCGCCGAACTTCCGATAATTTTTAAGGTGAAACTTACCGCTACTACGACTGCTACTAACGATTGTTTGGAATGTAGATATGTCTTGCAATGTAGATATTGTATCAGCTGGCAATGGGACACTAGAAATATCTGGAACGTCTGCGAGGAATGGCGACAGAAACTTTCTTGGTTGTGGGCGCCGCGGGAAGAGAAGGTATCACTACAAAAAGAGAAAGAAAAATCTTTGAAAAATTAAAGATTTCTCATTAAAAAGATTGAAATTACTACTATCCTCTCACGATGGATTTTTCAGGTCGGTTTAGTGAAAGCACAACATCCAACGGCCCAGACAATCCCCGGTTTATATCGGCAACCTGGGAACACGTCTCAACATCTGCTTCACAGCGACAGCGACCTGAGACTCGATGCACAGGGAGCTTTCACCAGGTACAGTTAGTTGCAAAATAAATTCAGTGACGGTATTGTGTCCCGCACTGTCGCTGACAGTGAGTGAAAAGCCAAATCGCACATTGTGGATTGACAAAGCGGATTCTTTGACAAAAATGGAACAGAGAGATAATGAATCTTATTTTGTGCTGTTAAATCGAACCGTGAAAAAGTTGACAGTACAATATTGGCGTGAATTATGATTCGGTGGAGATACCGTGCGTTAATTTTGTTATGATGAAGGATCGTTGTCAAAGCGTTGGGCCGATATTGGCAATTTTGCGTGATGCAATCGTGCGCTCGATGACACAGCGGTAACTTTTTTCTGGAACGAGCACTTAAAATAATTAAGTAAAACCGTTAATAGCTCGACTAACTTCGGTACAATCGAACAATGGTGGCGTTATTAAAAGTATTAAATTTTAATAATCCGTTATTACTGACGCGTGAAACGGTGCCCTCGTACGATCGTTGTTTCTACAATAAATAATTCCTTTAATGTTAAATCTCTCGTCGAGGAACAGTATAGTGTATACCGAAAGCCAAGAGCGAATCAATTTAACCGCCGTAGATTGCATCTATATTTGTAACGAAAATTGTGCGACCTTTTTTCAGTAAGCACGCGATGTCTAACCAGTTATTATTCGGTTAATCGATACTTAATATTTAATGCGACAATGAGTCGAGACCGCGCCGCTGCGAGATTGTAAAATTAAATTCGCATTTCACGTCGCCGTCATACGGCCAGCATTTAATATTCGACAAACAGTTCAATTTAACATATGCGCCAAATTAGAAACGTATTCGCGGTGCGCGTGAAATTACATTATTAACAACGTATCGGTATTTAAGCGTTCAAAACGTGTTAAAAACCATCCGTAAGTATCCGTAGTCGAGTAATTTAGAAAATAAAAATGAATGAACAAACGTGAACGTAGATTTTTAAACGCGAAAGCTGTCCCAAAGTCGCCACTTACAAACTAAAGTACTCGAACGAAACAAAGTAAAAGAAGGTCTCTCCGTTTGATATTTTGAAAAGACGATATAACTCGCGACATTTGCAGGTTCGAACCGGTGGACAGAGATCTCCATCCGCCTCTGGGCACCACCACCGGTAGTACGATACCACCGCAACCTTTGAGACCAGCACCTCAACCAAGGCCAACTGCTCGTCCAAGACCGTCTCCACTTCAAACGTCGAGCACTGTAGACTACCTGAGAATGCAAGAGGCTGGCCCAGTACCTTTGACACCGCCGCCATCGTTGCAGAGACCGTCGGTACCGTCGAGATCCACCGGCCCGTCGGTCTTCCTTTTCCAGAGCGAACCGATGAAGAATTACGGTCTGCACAAGCCATCAACCGACCACGGTTCGTTCAGATTCGACGGCGAGGCAACGAAGACCATGACGGAGAGTATCCAAATGACACCGTACGGCTCGCAAAATCATATCGACGCGGCGAGGCTGAGATACGAGTTCGAGGAAGAACTGAGGAAAGAGCAGAACAGGCACAATCCTTACAGACAGTTCGATACCGGCATCGAGTCGACCAGGATCAGATACGGTGTACACGGTGTGCCTATAGCTACCCTGGATGGTAAGGGAGACGAGGATGGTAACACGAGCTACGGTAGCTACGACATCGTCCAAAGGAATCGCATAATACGGCAACATGTCCGGAATGATTCGAGAGGCTCGCCAAGCAGTTTCGGTATGACGAATTCTTCGAATGCCGCCAGCCAGACTACCATGGAATCGATATACGGATCCGAGGAGCTGTCTAAGATGCTTCAGAGCACTCAGAGCCTCGGCAACGACCTCGATCGCAAGAGCAACGAGATGCAAAGCATCGAGATGACGCCCTTTAGAAGCTCCAGCCTTCAGGAGAACATCGGCCCGTCCTACTTGTTCCGCGAGTCTCAAGGGTTGCAGAAGGTCTCGCAATATATTCAGAGCCTGCCGGACCTTCCGATATACGACTCGATCAACGAACTCGGACTCCATCAAGATCAGGATCGCGTGCTCTACGACGACACGATTCAGGAATCGATCAACGCGTTGAAGGTTAACAGCGAAACGGCCTCCAGCCCGATACCGCCGCCACCCGCGCCGCCTGATCCGCCGAAAGATGTGCCAAAAAAGAACGGACAGACAACTGGCGAAAGAATATTCAATGCTCTCAGATTGGTCACGTCGCAGAGTTACATCGACGCCTCAGAATTTTATAAGTACGTCATCAGGTTCTTTTTCTTAATGCAACGATAATAAGAGCAACATATAAAAAGAAGTCTTGCTAATACATTCGTGATTTTTTTCGTTTAAATTTTATGTTTGAAATTTTCTTAAGACCTCCTCCTTATTTATTAGAATGAAAGCAAGATTGAAATATAAAAGAATTCTAGCAGGCTCAATTATTCTGTTAGAATACAATTTTGTTTCTGGTTATCGTAGCTCAGTCGTATCCTCGGCACAACAAGTTCAACGTTTCACATTCTCATCGAGATCTCCGTCATTGGTGGAGGAAAGCACTGGTAACCAGTTGCAGGATGAAGTTCAGGACATTTACGCGGAGAACGATTCTGACGTGATAGGTCCTGATGGCTCCAGACGTAGCTCTGATCTTTACAGCCCTGAACTCAATTTAGAAGCACACAGAACTGCGCAAGAGGTACGTGTTGATTCTAAGATGACATTAGAACTTATTATTGAACTTATTTCAATTACGACAGGTATACAATAGTTTACAAGATCCACCGTCGTCGCCGTTGTTAGTTAAAGATCACAGTCAAGAGATTTACACGTACATGACTGATCCTAGCTTCACAAGAACCTCGGAGGTACGACTGCTATTGATCTGATTATTTTCAACTTCGTCCGATAGATTATCTCATCGTATTTTATTTATGTTCAGGACATTTTAAATAGCATCGAGCAAAGAAGAAAAAGTATGGAAAGATTGAACGGTATCCAGGAATTCAATGAACTCGATGATGATGATTCATTGAGGTAGCATTAAATATACGACAACTTCATTAATCTTGATTAAAAAAAAATAATAATAATTCTTTATCTTTATATCGCAGGAAAAGAAATAATCACGAGTTTTATGCTGCACTAGAAGAAGCTCAATTGAAGAGAAAATTCTCTCAGGTACAACAACTTCATTCGACATTTAACATAATTAACTCTTTCAGTATCTTACAATTTTCTTTATATATTGTCTAAATCCACGTAGCTACAGAATATGTAAAAATTTCTGTACATTTTCTATCATAAAAGCTCATTTAACAGAAATAAGACGCAATTATAGAAAGTCAAAATATCAGTTAAAGGAATTCGTGGCAAAAGTGTGTAGCAAGAGGGTTAAACAAACTACGATATTAGTTTCTTGATGTTAAGATACAATTCGATCTGCAGAGTTTCATCACGAATTACACCATAAACGATTACAATGACATCAATCCTGGAAGTCGTCGTGGACCCCAGGGACCTGATCCAGAACCACCGCCGGATGAATCGAATTTGAAGCGGGCAATAAGTTGCGAAAGCGTATGCTCCGACACGAGTGTAGTGTTAAACGACCTCGAGGAAGCTCCCATCGTCGGCCACGTGTGCGTCGGTGTTCAATACGACAGATGGGGTGGTCGGGGTGCTGATAGCGAGGGTGATCTCGCGGTCAGCGTTCTCGAAGCCAGAGATCTCATCACACCGGATGAACAACCTGCTCAAGATACTTTTGCTAGGTTTGAAAGATTCCATGAAACGTATCAGATCAAATACACATACAAAGTTTGGGACTGCTCGTCGATTAAATTGTTTCTAGAACGAAGTTTGATTTAACACTGTCAAAGAGATTTTGAGGAAAGTCAATGTGATGAAAGTGTTCAATGTTACAAAATACATTCCCAATTTTTACCATGTATACATTGAATTTAACTAACGAGAGGTATTTACTCCTTTTAGAGTTTGTCTGTTGCCAAACAGAGAATTACACGTGAAAACGAGACTGTACAGAGGAAGTCCATCGCCTAGTTATCAAGAAAATTTTCTGTTCCCTCTGGACGATGGCCCTAGTGGAAGAACTCTTCTCGTCGAAGTACGTTATTAATAAAAAACAAAACTCATTCGTCGAAATACAAAAATACTGCTTGGCGAGCGTACAATATAACATGAACGTAAAATTTTTAAGATATTTTCCGATGAGACCAGTATCGGTGATGGGACGACTCTCATCGGAGAAGCTAGGTTACGTTTAGGACCCGCCTCAAGAGCACCTGCGACTACGTGGTTACCACTTTTGGGATCAGCTTTGCCCACGCCAAAACTCGGAGAGTTAATGTTCTCTCTGAGTTACTTACAAACGGCTGAAAGGCTCACCCTGGTGGTTGTGAAGGCCAGGAATTTACGTGGCGCCAATGCAGTAGCCGGTGATTTCTTCGTTAAGGTAATTATACAGCAAACAACATGACTGTATTGACAACTAAAAATATTGTTATTAATAAAGTTTCATTGAGTCTAAAATAAACTTAAACGTTCTGTAATTAAGTTAAGACTATTATCGATGCTCACGTATGATCCGAATCACACATGACTGATAATGTTCCAAAGGTGTACTTGTTACAACAAGGAAAGAAGATCCACAAGAAGAAAACATCTGTGAAAAAGGGAGAAGAAAGTCCAATATTCAACGAGGCAATTATTTTTAACGTGCCCACTCATACTTTGCAGGTCTGATTAATTTTGAATCATCAAACTTTGTTATGCGTGTATCATGAAGAATGTCGCGTACCTATTGGTTTCTTCCATCTAATTCCAGAACATACAGATAAGACTAACTGTAGCGGAAGTAAACAATGATCAGGGCGTAAATTCGAAACCATACTCCGTTGGACATGTCATCGTCGGTCCCACGTCGGCAGGAAGAGCGTTCGTCCATTGGAGACAAATGTTGGCTGCTCAAAGGCGCCCTGTTGCCATGTGGCATCCGCTGAGAAAATGAAAGGAACAGGAACGATGTTGGAACGAAATGTAGGAACAAAAGTCTACATGGATTTAAAGTATATTTGGAGAACGGCGGCGTTACATAGACATAATGTTATAGCGAATCATCCTGATACTCCTCCGGGTTTTGAACTGTTCACTTTTTTAAAAACAGTACTTCATTTGAAATCAACAATATGTATTAGAGATCACTTGAACTCGTACAAAATCATTCCCGAAAGGGTATACTAAACGTGGTGCAATTTATCTTAAGAAAGAGATGAGGTCACGTTTTTTTTTTGAAAGTAAACCGTTCAAAACTGCGTGAATTTTTAGTATAACCCGATACACGATCACTGTTAATAGACAGTTTCCATTGAAAAAGAAGGAAAGATATAGGAACTTAAATGCTTTTGTTATTATATCGATTGATATTCTAGATCGTGTACAATTCATTCATACAGGGTGCTGACGTATTTAAGGCCTCAACGTGAAAGACTTTTCTATTCACGTTATACGATTACTTGTAAGTATTGAATGTCCAGCATTCTCTCTTTAATCGTTCTCCTTTATACTATAAACGAGCAAATACACCCATAAACGTGTGACAACACGTTGCAAGTAGAGAGATGATAATTCAACAAAATCTACGATTCGTCGTTTTCGATTTGATGGTATAAAAATCTCAATGTCAAATTCGTATCCTACTGTGCATGTACCAATTTGATGTACATGATATGTTGTTTCATCTAATGGTAAGATTGAAAATGACGGCTCCGTGATTTATCTCGACATGAATCGACAAGACACGAGGTTGCCGTTAAAATGAAAGATAGCGAAGAAATTATATGAGACGAGGAAATCGACCAGGATATTACGCGGAGCCTGGTATCAATCATTTCAGACTGATGTATCGATATCAAAAATCATCGTCAGGCACAAATCGCTGTAGGTTCTAAATGGATCCACATCGTTGTTCATACCGTGTCCCTCCACGAGGAAGGTTCGAAAGATCATTGTGACAAGATCACAAGGTTCTCTGGATACGAGGCTCAAACACATATTTGTATCGATATTTTATATACGGCCTGCGAACGACAAAGCCAAGGAATATACATCATTTTATTCGTTTCATTCATTATTGGGACGAATTAGATGAATTATATATTTTAGAACGAAGTGAAAAAAAACAAGACTAAGTGCACGGATTGAATGATAGCTTCAAAAATGTGTTCTTTCCCTTTTGTTTCTCCGTTAATATTTCTTTGCAAAGAAATATACATACAAGTAGATGAATTGTAGACGACAAGCTTAATCGAACCTTCCTTACGTGTATAGAGAAAATGCCATCATGCCATCTCTTCTGTGTGTATCATGTTGATGTCAGTTAAAAAGCACTTTAATTCTCTTTTTTCTTTCGAAAGAAAAGTTCCCCTTTTTCCACCTCGTACAAACATTATTTGCTTTAACGCAGAATTATCTATCGGTTTGTACGAATATTTGTAAAAAAGAGAAAAAATTGATCATTCTTGTTTCTCTTGTAATTTTCATTTCTTTTCTTTTTTTTGTTCTATTCTAGCGTATCGATGTAATTTTACTCGTTGTTCGTTCGAACAACCGGCTATATAAATGCAGAAAAATGAAAGAAACGAAAAAAGAACGACAAAGAAAAAAAAAGAAACGCTTCGCCGTGACTAAAAAATTCATTGCGAAAAATTTATGGACTCTAATTCAGAGTTTCATCAAGATGTAAATGTTGTTGTTCCCAATGGACTGTTAATGTTTGTACAGAGTTTATTAACGACGTACTCAACGTGCAGAGCATTCTCTTCGAAACGTGGACGATTGATCACGATTTTTGATTATGTTCCTTTCTCTCCTAACGATCGATGCTCATCATATTTCTTTTCCTTTTTCTTTTATTTCTACTTCTTTTTCTCCTTCTCCTTCTTTCTCGTTACATAATCTGTTCATTCCTTTTTGTCATTTTATTTCGACAATGAAATCATTGGTCTCGATTTCTTCTTTCTCTTTCTTTTTCTTTTTCGCCTTTGTGACAGTAGTTGGCACACGGGCGAATTACACGATTTTCAAGCAATGCTGAGTCGATGCAAATCCGCTGCCGGTCGTTTGCACATACACGGCACAGATTATGCGTCGACCTAACTTAATTCTACAAAATTTGCTCCATTACGATTCCATTGGGCGTTCGAGGTTACAATGATACTCGATTATTCCTGATGTAATTAAATGCGCGTCACCATTTATCGTCGGAACTATTTGAGCAGAATGTTAGTGAAATTAGGAAAAGGTTGAGAAACAATCATTTTTGTGATAAAACACGAGAAAAATTTTGCTTTAGAAAAGATTATTTTCATTATTTTCATTACCACGTAAAAATGACGTATGCTCTTTGAAATATGAAAATCTATAGAAATCTTAATTTAATATTAACAATACGTTTTACAGTTCCGACAGAAATGGAAAAACCTCGCGATATTTACGACTAACGGGATCGTTAGCGCAAATCGAACGAATTAGATAGCCTTTCGGACCTCATAACCTATTCTATACCTATAAATTTTGTACCTCTTCGTACACGATAAAACTTTAACAAAAACTAATCCTTCGTATACACGTATACATTACATGCATACGCCACGTGTATATATACATATACATCTATATATATATATAGTTACATTACGAGAGAATTTTACACTCTATATTATACATTTTTTGTCATAAATTGCCGACTATTTGAATCCATACTTATGAACTTATTCAGGTCTTTTCTATCGCCAACTTACTATGGGACTAATATCGCTGAACTCTCATTAACTCCATAAATATATTTGTAAATTATCCATCGTGGACGATATGTATCTCTGCATTGTTTCGTACAAAGTGATCAGCGAGAACGATTGCAACTTACGACTTACGATTAACAATAAGTAATTTTTTTACACGCGAAACGAATAATAACATAATTAACAATTGATCCATGCAATGGGTTGAATGATTTTTCTTTATTTTTTAAAATTTACGAAACCAAAGGATTAATTATCAATCGATTATCCTTTTCATTCAGATACAACTGTACATCGTTCTTAACATTATTAAATATAACGATTAGTAACATTATTGTAGCGTCATATAATTTTCAGTATTTATAACCGATGAGATTATACTCTGGCGTTATGTAATTTTCAGTAGTTAATGAAAAATGTGCTATAACCAGTTCAAACGTGTGTATTTGTTTATATTTATTTATTTTTATTTCTTTAAATATGACAAAAATCGGATTTTGTAAGTTTGTAACAGAGCTTGGTGTCTTCTGGTAAAAATTACTAAATGTTAATAAAAAAAACAAGAAGAAGAAGAAAAAGAATGATTTCTTCGTCGCGATTAGTAAAATCAATCGAATCGTCCCCGTGTTTCACTTTGTACTCACGGAACCGTACGTAGTACGTATGTATAATCTGTATACATGTAAGTCGAATTACCATTCAAAACACTGTTGTATATCAGCACAAAACTAATCTTTTATTCTTAATACCAACGTGGCGTACACGGGTACGCACACACACGTATGTAGGTGGAGTTGTTCACGTACGTTTGTCTGCGCCCGTGCATGCATATGTTACGGATACATATTACTAAGTTTTATTGTTAAACTGGAATACATTAAACGTATGGCGTAGTACGATGAGACAGGGAGAGAACAATATTGAAGGCGTTCAATAGCTTGCTTCTCGTTTACCAAAATTTAGTTTTGTCAGGGGCTAGCTATAGACGAAATTAAGAGAGAAAGAGAGTGAGAGAAAGTTAGAGAAAAGAGAGAGAGAGAGAGAGAGAGAGAGAGAGAGAGCGAACGAAAGAGGAACGTGAGTAAGAAAGGAGTACGTGAGAAACGAAAAAGAATGAAAGTGAGAGGATGCGAACAGATGAAAAAACGCGTGGAATGAAAGGACAGAATGGAGTGAAAGATGAATAAGAACGATTGACAAAAAGATAGAGAAAAAAAGGAAAAAAGAGTGATGATGACAATAATAATGCCAATGCGATTCGTACCTCAAACGATACAAGACGACTACTTAAATAATAGAACGCACCGATATGCATACGAAATATCTGAAATAAGATTTAGTTACCTATTCATAATATACTTCTCATTGACAAACCTACAGCTCAGTCTTGTTTAATTATAGATTTGTTGATCCACCGTTGCAATTCAATATTTTACTTCGTTTGTCACTTGTACACACAGAATTTTCTATAATACTTTATCACAATATAATAATTTCATTTATGTCTTATATTCTTCAAAATGTGCTAGATTGATATTATAGATTTTAGATTATATATCGGCAATCACGCATAATACATTGCGCATAAAATTTTCATTAATTAAAAAACCAGGACTCGTGATGAAAAATAAAAAGAAAAATTATGATGCCTTATAATTTATAATCACGATCAAGATTGTGGGACGAATCGCAACGCGTAGCCATTGCATGAGTGTATGATTCATACAAAAATACTATAAAGTTTAAATTGTTTTATATTTTTGTTACGCCTCTCTGTGATATAATAAGGGCACATTCACCTCACCCTGTATATGCATTAATCTTTATATCTTATTGATTAAGGTGAAACTTTTTGAAGAACAATCCTTGCCAAGCCCTTCCTAATTACATTTCGGATTATGCTCGTGCGTACCGTCAGGTAAAAGAATCAAAAACCATGCAAGTTTAAATATTCAAGCAAGTTGCTGACATTATTTCATTTAAATGAACTTAAGGGAATTGTTAAAGCGTTTATGTACTTCGATAGAAACCGAGTCGTTTAAGATATCCGTACGTAAAATATCATTAATGAACGCAACGATCCAACAGAAAACGTTTTAATTTACTAATGATTTTAATAAATATTATTTCATAAAGATATGAAGAAAGAACAGTTACGAAAAAGTTAATAATTAAAAAATTTAAACAAATTTATCTTCTTATGAAGAAATTAATTTTTGTTGTTGTTATAATTTGTTAATTTGTTTAATTTATAATAAAAGAATAAACGGAACAAATGTAAACGGAAATGTTAACAAAGTAATTCTGATAAAGTAATTTTAATTGATTCAGTCTACAACCATGTACTTGTTTTTAAAAGAAATGTAAAAAGCGAATTATCTATATATCATTAAATAGTTTAATTCGATCGTGTGTGTACTTTTACTCTTCAGTTTTATAATCTCTCAATGTTACACGTGTATTTAAAAGTATAGATTCATTGGATGGAAGATGTGTATGGAAGTGTTTAGATTTAAAATTATTAATTTTAGTAATAGTAACATATCCCTTAAGATAAGGTACGTTCGAGCTTGTGCTTGTGAAAGGTATAACGTGTATCATTACACCTTACATTATGCTATACTAATTATAAACAAACGGAAAATCTTACACTAAAATCTGTGAAAAAAAAATATTATAAATCTGTGAAAAAAACGTTAATCACTATACAAGCGTGTAATAAGTACACAGAGAATCACATACTATTAACTATACATGATCATTGTTAATCAAGGTTGCGATTCTATTTACACGATTCGTTTACTGAATAAATTCGAAACAAATATATTTAAAGTAATAACTAATGTCATCCACTTCATAATTATTACCTCTAATTTCTATAATTTTTATATAGGTTTTGCAATCTCCAAGTTTCATTTCTTGAATGTAAACATTTTCGTTTATTATTGATTATAATTAAGAAGTAAGCAAGTTACAAAATCAAATCAATTATATTACATCAACTATTGAATCTATTATATCGATTAAGAAACGCAATTTGAAATAAATATATTTAAAATATATTAACGATTTACCACAAGAGTAGAGGTAAATTGTGCAGAAATGGAAGGACATCTTGCGGTTAGGATACGTCAAAATTGCCACAAAGGCAATTCACGTTCCGAGAAAACTGTTTTTTACGTATCTTTATAAAAATCTTGATTTCAGAAGACCACTTTGGTCTTTGAAAATAATGAATAGATTTGAATACGCCGATTCTCGACTTTTTCATAATGAAATTTATATACGACGCGACATTAACATATGCATATACGATGGTGATGTTAAGGTATGTATGTTAATCATAGCATCAGAATAAAACATAACCTTCAATTTTTTGACAGACAAATTTTGAAAGTGGTGAATTAGTACTTACCAGTCACAGATTCCTTTGGGGAAGACCTGGTGATATATCGCGTGGTCTCACATGTCTTTCATTATCTCTCCGTCATATAGTTTTCTTCGAGGAAGAAGTCCCTGGTCCATTTTCCTTTGGACGTAGCAAAAAAATCATAATACATCTTTCCGAGTCTCCAGTTGGTATGCTACAATTAATAATAGTTGCAAATTAAGATATTAAAATTACACAGTTTTATAAAAATATTTTGCTTTCTAGATAAAATGCCTGGTCCATTAGATAATAGCATATATAATTATATTAAATTCTCATTTAAAGAAGGTCTAGATCCAAATTTTCATACACATTTGTCTGATACTATTATGAGACGAGTTTGGGAATTTACACCTATTATGCCTTTAAATCATCCTGACAGTAATACAAAAAATAGTGGAGACATTAATAAACCTCTACCACAAATAAAGACAAGAACTGGTATCATAGGTATTGAAAGAAGCCTTCAGGAACAACAAAAAGCAACAGATGAAAGTATATCAATGGCCTTTCAAGATCTTAAGAAGCTTATGGAAGTGGCCAAAGATATGGTTTCCATTTCAAAAACTATCTCAGCAAAAATACGGGTGATTCTCGACAAGATTACTTTGTAAAATTGACATTCATAATCAAAGACCATTGCAGGAGAGACAAGGAGATATCACAGAGGATGAAACAGTTAGATTTAAATCTTACTTAATGAGTCTTGGCATTGATGACCCTGTCACCAGAGATGCATATAAGAGTAGTAACGAATATTTCAAACAATTGGCTATACAACTTGCAAATATTTTAGAAGAACCAATTAAAGTTAATATTCCTAATAAACATTACTAAAATTATAATATATGATAGATATTTTATAAATTTCATTCTATAGGAAGTTGGAGGAATGATGACATTAACAGATGTTTATTGTCGTGTAAATAGAGCTAGAGGCTTAGAACTTCTTTCACCAGAAGATTTACTAAATGCTAGTAGACAACTAGCATCTTTGAGTTTACCTATAGTATTGAGAGTATTTGATAGTGGAGTTATGGTTCTTCAATCTAGATCACATGACGATAATGCCATAGTTGATGTTATAGCTGAGCTGGTAAGTAAATAATTTAAACAGTTTTTATAGAAAGCTTAACTTCATTTACTCTTTTTAGATAAAAGAAAGAGGATCTCTAACAGCAGAAGAATTTGCTCAATCAGAAGGTATATCAGTCCTTTTAGCGCGTGAGAGGCTACTAGTTACAGAAAAAAGAGGAAGAGCATCTAGAGATGACACAATTGAAGCTTTAAGATTTTATCCTAATCTATTTCTGGAAAAAGATGATTAACACTGTCAAATTTCTCATTGCCGTATATATTTACACACACACACACACACATATTAAGTTTTAAATATATTGTTTTCATATGTAAAAATTTAAAATTTCTTATATTTTTTTCTGCTTTCATTCATTACACATATAGAATAAATCAAAACTAAAGATTAAATACTGCATGTTACAAAATCTATAATTTTTCCTTTAAAATTAATATTTAATTAAAAATCATTTTCGTGAACGTTTATCTTATAGTATCTTATAAGTATTATATGAAAACTAAAATCATTAAGAATGCTTTGTAACTATAATGTACATAAGTAATCATTGAATATATGTGCACATTTGTAAATAAATATTTTTCTGTTACAAATATCACAATAATTTACAACATTGTATGCAAATTCGAGTAAATAAAACAAAAATAAGAACAAAACTAAACAAATTGTATTCAACTTTAAACTATAGTAACATATACTTAACTATTTTAGTAAGTTGGTAAGTAACATAAATTATTTCGTATAACCATAAATCTGATTATAAAATATCAAATATATAGTCAATACTGAAAACTTACCTATTAATTTAAAAATTCTATTATTCAATTAATCATGAACTAAAAATATCATACCTAAACTATCCGCCATTTTTTTAAACACTAACATTCTTGTAATTATGCATCGAATAAATATTGAATCAATCAATTAGAAGTAAAAAAAACTAAAATAATAATTTGATACATTATCTATAATAATGAAAAATTATGAGTCAACAATTGACAAATAATTCCTGACCAATGGTCGAAGCTGCCGCATATACTGACTTGTTTGTCAGACTACACAATTTTAGTTTAAGATTAAAATGAGAAGAGGTATTTTTATTGTAGAATATGAAGCATTGTGAATGCGGTTAAATGAATTTCTTAAAGTTTGGAATATACTATATTTTTCTGAATTACACACGATATAAAAATTAGTAGTATTTGAATATTATTAAGTGCATTCGTTATATCATTGAGAAAATAAAGCCTACTCGGCATACAAAATGGCTTTGCCTCCGAACTATAAGCAAGTAGCAATGGCTACTTCAAATATTGTTGCATCTAATCGTAAGCATTATTAATCTTAATATATTCTGCTAATCCTTATGTATTAAAAAAAAAATAACCATATTTCAGAAAGACTTAGAGCTTCTGGTGGAAGTAGTAGTAGTTCAACTAATAGTGTAAGTAAATGTAACAAATTAGAAGATTTAAAACATAAAATTAATCTTTGGAATAATTTATAGAAAGATGCACAAAGCCCATTTATTCAAACGCCTCATAGTCATCCAGGATTTACACCACAGAAAGTTGGAAAAAATACAAATGTATGTACATGGTCAATTATAACTGAAATTATAATAACATAAAATATTGAAATTAAAGTAATACTTTTATAGATTACATTATTTCATGTTAACTATTTCATAAAATAATACTTTTATAAATTAAATTTCATGTTAATTATATAGGCTGATTCTCGTATGCCTAAACCACCTAAGCCACCAGAAAAACCTCTTATGCCTTACATGAGATATAGTAGAAAAGTTTGGGATCAAGTGAAAGCTCAAAATCCAGAATTAAAATTATGGGAAATAGGAAAGATTATTGGACAAATGTGGAGAGATTTACCTGAAGAAGATAAAACTGAATTTATTGAAGAATATGAAGCAGAAAAGGTAGAAGTGATGATGTGTTAATATTATTTTTGTGTAACTACAAAAATATATATTAATATTATTTATGTTATAATAGGTTGAATATGAGAAAAGTTTAAAAACTTATCACAATTCACCTGCATATTTAGCTTATATTGCCGCTAAAAATAGAGGGAAATCTGGTAAATATTTTATCTCAATAAGTATATAAATATCCTTGTTTATATTAAATTTTTAACACAACGTATTTTGATCACAGCATTATGTGCAGCACAACAAAATAATGATGATCGAGAGAGTCATGAACGTTCATCTGGCAGTACCAAAGGACAAGCAGCACAAGATAGAAGAATAGATATTTTACCTGCAGAAGATGATGATGGTATATAAATTCATATAATTAAAACAAGTAAAAATACTATGTATATTTTTATTCTGCAGATCAAGATGATGGATATTCTGTAAAACATGTTGCGTATTCCCGATATACTCGAAATCATCGTCTTATTAATGAGATATTTAGTGATACTGTAGTTCCTGATGTTCGCTCTGTTGTTACTACACAACGAATGCAAGTATTACGTCGTCAAGTACAATCTTTAACAATGCATCAGGTACAATGAAACAAACATTGATTTTTAGTTAGAGAAATTACTTAAATAATTATTTTAATGAATTGAATATTACAGAAAAAGCTAGAAGCAGAATTGCAACAAATAGAAGAAAAATTTGAAGCAAAGAAACGTAAATTTATTGAAACGAGTGAAATATTCCAAGAAGAATTAAAAAAAGTAAGTTATCATTTTTAATAAGATAAATATTCAAATGTAAAATAATGTCTTTTTCAGCATTGTAAACCAGCTGTAGATGAAGAAACATTCAATAAAATGGTAGAACGACAATATGAAACGCTTAGACGAGATAGATTAAAAGGTGCAGAAGAAAATCGCTCAGATGGACCTGCATCAAGTGAATCAACTCCAAATTCTACTCCTACTCCAACTCCTGCTCCTATTAATGATGAAACACCATCTGATGTAAGTACTGTTGACAGAATTATAATCATTAATATATAGATAATTAACACTATAATTTCTTTGTAGGTTACTGACAATGATACAATAGATAAAAAATCAAATGGTTGTGAAAAATCTAATAATGAAATTAAAAAAGAAACATCTTCACCACCATATACTGAAAATAAGCCAGAACCTTCATCTCAAGGAAATGTTAATCAACATACATCCAACTCTGGCATGTATAGTGGAACTATTAGTCCAATACAACAGCAGCAACAGCAGCAGCAGCAGCAGCAAACGCCGCCACCACCACTACCACAACAACAGCAGCAGCAGCAACAACAACAACAACAACCACCGCCACCTCCACCACCTTCGCAATCACAGCCACAACCGCAACTACAACTACAACCACAACAACAGCAGCCACCACCAATACAACATCAACAGCCACCATCTCAACAACATCTACAGCATCCACAGCCACCACCACCGCCTCAACAACAACAACAACAACAACAACCATCGACGCAACAATCACAACCATCTTTACAATCACAGCAACCTGCTACTACAACAGTTGCTGCTGTAGCAGTAGTTGCTAATACAAATGTAACTGCAAATACACCGAATATGCCGCCTGTTTCTTCACCGGCTCCTCTTATACAACACAATCATCATCAACAAGGAATGTTAGCTAATCATTCAATACCACCTCATCAAGCAACACAAGGAACCCAAGGAACGCAGGTGCTTCCACCTCAAGGACCAGTTTCTAATCCACATACTCCCCAGATGATTCCACCGAATCAAGGCTACAGTCAATATCAACCAGGACCTACTCAACAGGCTCAAAATGTTCCATTAGCTCCAAGACCTCCACATCCATCTTATGCTTATCCTCAGCAACAACCATATCATCAACCATATCCTCAATATCCACATCCATATTACCATCAGCCATATTCGCAATATTCACCACATACTATGGGTCGCCCACACAGCCATGGACCTCATAGTCCACACAGCCCTCATTATCATCCACAATCTCCTCATGCTGTTGGAGAAAATAATACTACTAATAACAGTGTACCTGGTTCAAACACTGCTTCTGTACCAACTTCTGATGCCAGTAATTCATCTTACTCATCAGTATCGGGACATTGTGAAAATGAACGTTCTGTTGCTTCAGAAGGTCAAGAAGGTCAAGCAGATATGAAATCAGGATCTGGTTAATTATTTTTTATAACTGCATACATCTATTTATAGGTTTCCCTTAATTTTGTGTAAACCATAAAATTACATTTAAATAATATTGATGCATTTAAACAGTTACAATAAATTTGTCATATTCACTCAGTTTGTACAATAAAAATGCATTATTAATCTTTTTTTTATTTTGAGAGTAATATTATAATTAGAATTATCATTTCACAGCACATTTTTTAAAAATATCAAAAAATGCATTCATACAACAATCAAGACATCTGTATAATACATCTTGAATAATGTACATCAGTCTTTTATTTCACAGATTTCATTTGCCAAAGTCCATCATTTAAATAATGACAATTTTCTATACCTATTCCTTTGTTCACCTTAACTCTGTAAATTACATTGTTATAACCTATAAAGCACTTCTTAAATTTTTTACATATTAACGGATTTTACACATTGTAGGTTATTTACTTACATATCTTCTGTTGACAATGTAGTAACACCCACAGCTAAAGCATGTTGCTTTCCCTCTGCCATAACAGCCTATATTTTAAGTTAAGAATTTAATATTCTTAATTTTTTTTATACTAATAAATAACTTCACTTTATGTTACTTTAACAAAGGATACAACAACTGTTCCCTTTTCTACAGGTGTCATCTTTGCACCTTTTGATGTTAAACCAGGACACATAATGTTAGCTCCACTAAGAACGAACCGGATAGCACCTTTATCAACTTGTTGCATTGGTAAAAAAAATGGGTCTAAAATTTTTAAATATATTGAAGTAAAATAAATTATAAAGTATAAACTTTTGTTTAAGATTAACTTTCTATTAACTACATTGTTTGTCATATTTAGAAAAAATATTACTTACATTTATGTAACAATCTTAAAGTTGGCATCCAAGATCCTTCACGTTGACGGAAAAACAAAAGATCTCCTGCTGCATTTACTATAATCTCTATATGGTCATGACTAGTCACAAAATAAACATATACAAAATTATTTAATACTAAATATAAAATATATCAGTTTTAAGAAAATTTACCATTTTATAATTCGGAAAGCATCTTTTTTTGGAATGATAGCATCTACATGACCTTCTAAGTGGGGATATAGCTCCAAAAGTTTTGACCGAATTCCTTTTTGAACTGATGATTTCAGTTGTTGCATACCAGAAATGCTATCTTTCTCGTCAAATCTAGTAAAGTATTAAAAACGACAGCATTATTATCATTAGATAAAGGTTATGTTCTTATAAGAGACAGAATAACATATGTATGTACTTTTTAAACATTTTTCTCTCTTTTACAAAATAATATTGAATGCCGCAGAATTATTAATATATAAAAAATACATTCAATTAAACAATTCTTAATGTAAATTTTGATTTTCAAAAGATTGAATACGACCGGTATATACTATGTATGAATATTAAACTACAGTACTATATATACAGATCAATGTATACGTATATGAATAATAAGTTGTTACATATCATTCATTTCCATAAAAAGATGTCTCAAACATTAAATGATATAATGAATTTAAATTATATTATAAGAAAAATAGTTACAATATTTTTATAAGCAAAAATTTTCAAATTATAATAATTTGTATAGTAACAATATTTATGAAAATTACTATGAAATATTATTACTATAAAATATTTATTTGCAAGAACTGAACTAAACGTGAAATAAATAAAATAATAAAATCTAATTATATAAGAATTTATTTTTTTAGAACTATTTTTTTTACAAAACTAAAAATTTTTTACAGAATCAAATTTTGGATCCATTTTTTTTTACAAAATGTAAAAATTGAAATAATTTTATATCTATTAGAACCATTTATTTTATACGTTAGTGGCGCGTTATTACGTACTTCCGGATTATAATTTTTAAAACTATAACACTAATGTCATGCAGTTGGCAAAGATGGAAACATGGCGGGACTACTCACTAATTGTGGTCCGTGCCGAAATGATTGTTTGGTTTCTCTTTTGGTGTGTTTGTAATTTTTTAATATTACTATCACATGTTTATTTTACTTCATAGAATTTTTTTGAGAATTCCTTCAAACAATATGTAATTTTAATAGATAAAAAACTAAAATATATACATTATGTTTTATTGTAATTTTCTTTTTATTTTAAAATATATTCGTTATTTATTAAAAAAACTTTGATTTACATTTGCAAATTTAAATAGGAAATACCTGAAAGATATTTAATTGATCGGAGTTTATATATTGTACAAATTTTTCATATTGTAATTATTTGTGATATATTTATTTTTATTAATAAGATATATTGACAAATATAATATCTTTGTATTTATATTACAAAATATGATAGTTTTTTATCACTTTTTATAAACATTTCTGTTATTTTTTTCAAAAATAATGAGTATCAAATTTAATAAGGTTATGTTTAATTGTAAAAAATGTTAACATAGTATTCAGACACAATAAATAATTATAATATAAAAAATAATTGTAGGTTATAGGGCCAGCAGAATTATGTTGCAAAGTTTCTGAAGGATTACATGAAAGTGCAAAGGAAAGGAAATGGCATATTGTTGTACATCAGTGTGAACTTGTTGATAAAATCATACAATCGAATTTAACGCTAGGTGTAGATTTCATTATTTTTGTTTTTGATTGGACTACTCAATCTTTATCTGAAGTAAATACATAATATATTTAATAATTATATATTTATAAATTATGTATTTATAAAATATTAATGTTAAAAAATATATATCATTGTTTAAGGTAGAAACAAATATAAGTCTCATAGATGAACATTACATCATTTCTGGAGCTGCATGCCTTGTGAATTGCAGAGGAATTTCAAATATTATGGGCTTAACTTTTCATAAGTCAGCAAAAATACGAGAGAAATACAACATTAAATTTTTATCAGCTAATGTTTTTGTAAGTTATATATGTAGATATTTTCTTTTCATTTTTTAGTTTGTAACTATTTTATTATATTAATTTTTATATTTCTTCCAGAAACCACACATTTGTATACAATTAGGTAATAGAATATTGAATTTAGTAGAAGCTATATTGGGTATAACAAGTGGAATTCCTATTATTGGGATATAAATAATATAAAATTTTATAAAACTTGAACTTATATTTTAATGTTAAAATGAAAAAGGCAGGTAGCAGAAGTCAAGCATATGCTTCTAGCCAAGAAGACAGTGAAAATGATAGTGATGAAACTGAATGCAGTATTGGTAGTAATTCAACAGCTGGTACTCATCGCAGTGATACACCTACTCGTAGCGCTCGTTATAGAAGAAAAGGTCGACGTAGAAGTAAAACAACAAAATATAAACCATGTACGGACAAACCCCTTTACAGATATTGTTGCAGTGTTAAAGAAGATCATGGACAACCATTATTTGGGGTACAGTTTAATCACCATTTGAAAGAAGGTGAACCATTGATATTTGCTTCAGTGGGAAGCAATCGAGTAAGCATTTATGAATGTCCAGAAGGAGGAAATATTAGATTACGTCAATGCTATGCAGATCCTGATCCAGAAGAAAATTTTTATACTTGTATTTGGACTTATGATGATTCTGGAAAACCTCTTTTAGCAGTTGCTGGATCACGTGGTGTTGTAAGAGTTATTAGTCCTGTAACTATGACTTGCATCAAACATTATATTGGACATGGTCATGCAATAAATGAATTAAAAATTCACCCTAGAGATCCAAATATATTACTGTCAGCATCAAAAGATCATGCTCTTAGGTTATGGAATATAAAAACTGATGTATGCATAGCAATATTTGGTGGTGTTGAAGGTCATAGAGATGAAGTTTTAAGTGCTGATTTTGATTTGAAAGGAGAACGTATTATTTCATGTGGCATGGATCACGCTTTGAAATTATGGTCTTTGGATAAATCAGATATGCAAGAAGCAATAAAACAATCCTACTATTGCAATCCTAGTCGTAATGGAAGACCTTTTGATTCAATATTGCAACATTTTCCAGATTTTACTACACGCGATGTTCATCGTAATTATGTTGATTGTGTTAAATGGTATGGTGACTTCATCTTAAGTAAATCTTGTGAAAATTGTATTGTTTGTTGGAAACCAGGGCGTCTCGAAGATTCTCAATTACGTAACGGAGAAACAAGCGCCACAGTTTTACATAGATTTGAATTTAAGGAATGTGATATATGGTTTATACGATTTTCAATGGATTTTTGGCAACGTACGATAGCTTTAGGAAATCAAGTCGGTAGAACATATGTGTGGGACTTAGAAGTTGATGAACCTGGCCAAGCACGCTGTTACTCACTTCAACATCCTAGATGTACTGCACCTATACGCCAAACTAGTTTAAGCAGAGATGGTTCAGTTTTATTATGTGTTTGTGATGATGCTACTGTATGGAGATGGAATCGTGAACACTAATGTTTCCATAATAATTCATAAAATGGTGCCTTTATATTTACATAATATATTGTATTAAATGCTTATTACTGCCTTTATAATTACTATAGTAAATCATAATTTTATATCAGCGTATTTATAAAATAATCGTAATTATTTCTATCCATAAGTAATTTATGAAAAAATTAAAATTTAGATATTTATACATTTTATTACTGATTATAATATCTTCATTAAAAATGAGGAATTAATTTTTTATACATGGAATTGTAACAAAAAGAATTTTTGTTAAAAATCACATTAATGTTTAAAAATCACATTATGTTGTACTAAACAATTTTGAAAAGCATGCAAGGCTTTAATTCTTCATATATATTTTATGCATTAGTATGATTATTTAACAAAATAAAATATTTCCCATTTTACAATAGAGCATTAATCTATACATACTTTTTAAAAATATTTTGTTTATAATAGAAACTAATGCACCTTTTTTATAAATAAAAAGTAAAAAGTAAAAAAAAATAAAATAAAATATTTAAAAAAATTTCGCTTTCGGAATAAAAATAACTTTCATAATTTCATTTAGAAATATAGAAGCGAAGGACCGAATCTCAAGTCTCGTATTATTTGGAATCTCGAGACTAAATTTTAGATATAATTAGCATAAGTGGATGATCGCGAAACTAATCGATATGAGAATATTAAGATCCCATATGATTCTACTCAAATTTTTCCGACCTATTTTTAAACAATTTCGCATATCTTTAAATAGAAATCTTATATTTTATAAATTTATATAAATTTACTTACTATAACTCTTTTGCTATAATTTGCTATTTTTTTTTAGCAATTAATTAATACATTTTATCCAATGATTTATAAAAAAAAATATATAAAATCTAGAATAATCTGGAATAATTGTCTAAAATAGTAATATATTATAGTGTAATTAAATTATACTAAAAAGTGATAGCTATGGAAAACCAAAGTAATTATTTTAAGTTATATACTTTTTATCCATAAAGAAAAATCAGTAAATGTTTTTATATAAAATACATTCAAAAATTGGATATTTATACACTTCAAATACAATCTTAGAAGATTTAATAAATAAGTGCCAAAATATGATTTGAATGTAAGCCTGAAATATATTATAAATAAGAAATTTTGATTTTATGAATAATTGCTTAATGAATTAACAACTACAGCACTTCTTTTAGCTTCTTTGGAATCTTTATCTTCACCTTGTCGTTGTTGCATATCTTGTTGCCCTCTAATTCTAATATTGTGCTTCTCTTTGAATTCATTTATTTCAAGTCCTTTTTTTGTCAATTGGTCATTTAGAGCATCTATGACTTTAATTAACTATAAATACATTTAATTATATTTAACTACATTTTATTTATATTATATTCTTAAAAGTTAAAAAGATATACATGCATTATTATAATGATTGACTATTATTTATGGGAATAAAGATAAAACAAACCTGTTCTTTATTTGTTACCAATGCAGGCATCACATCTTCTACAGTACGTTCACATAGAACACCTCCAGTCATTCTATAGCATTTTCTTTTTGGATCTATATTTTTTAATGTATCAATAACGATCCTAAAAAATTAAAAGTATGTATCATTTAAGTAATTGAATAATAATTTATGCTATTTGAAAAAAAACTTACTATTTAATTTATCAAAACAAAATAAAATAAATTTTCTATTTTTTTCATTAAAATCTCATGATATATAAATTTATGTCAAGTTATTTGCTATGTATTTATTCAATATTTAAAATATTTGTAGTTAGCAATAAAAATAAATAATATAGGTTAGGAAGCACATACTTGTGTTCATTTAGTTCCATCTCCATTTCAGACAATTTATTGGCCATTGCTCTTTGTTCACTGCGAAGCATTTGAAATTCAGATAGTATCTCTGTGGTAGATTTTGTGCCTTTCGAAGATTTTCCTGATTTTTTATCACTAGCCATATTAGGAGCTTTGTATCACTTTTTCATCCGTAAGATTCAGTGATGCCTCTGGCGCATGACGTTCGTACTTAAAATCGATTTATATATATGTCAATAGATCGTTCGATATTTTCAACAGAATAATGTCTTAACTTCATATCATAAAAAAAAAAATAATTTAAGGTTCAATTTTGTTGTAAGAAAAATTAAATTTTAATAAAAATACTAATTTTTGTTGTTTTTTTTTTATATGAGATGTAGAAAAAGATTTTATTTATACTCAAATTAGGTTTAAGATTTATAAATAAAAATTGAAATAATATCAAATCTCTTTATTATGATTTTTGTACATTCTATGAAATCAGAATTTTATTTTGTGCGTACTGCTTTTTTTTTTTACAAAATATAACGAAATCTTATAAAAGTAAATTATCAATATATATTCTACACAGAATGAAACAGAATATATCATATCTAAAACAAGTAATATTTATACACTGAATGTTCATTAATTTTGTTTATCAATTAATACATTCAAACTTACACATAAATAAAAAACTTCGGATAAAGCTATTCGCAACACATTGTATACTTGTAGAAATGTAGAATTAAAAGAATTTCTATGTCCTTAAACATAAATATTCTTAATTTACTACATAGTTTTAAATAATACAATTTATGAGCAGAGGCAAGTGACATATATTTTTTTGTTTTTATTTAATGATGATATGTTAAATATTTTTTTAGGCATATATAAACTTACACTCATCATATCAAATTATTTTATCTTTTAATATTTAAAATTAGATATTAAACAGGAATGTATAGAAAGAAAATGAGTATTATAATAAACTTTTTTTGTATAACAAGTTTTGTTATCATACTGATCACTTCATTATATACTCATGAAATGTATATGCTGTATATACATATGTTAACATGAATGTTAGATAACACACATATTGTTTATTGTATATCTATCTTAATAGTAAGCATAGTAAACACAATATAATATTATCAGCCTTCCAAAATAAAACGTAAAATAGTAACGATTTAATACAAAAAATATATATAAAAAGATATACAAAAAAGATCTTATTATATATAAACGACATAAATAATATAGGAATATAGTATGCAATGACAGCTATAGGAAGAAGTCAATATCTGATTTTAACAACCAAATATTAAAGTACTAATAAGTTAAGTAGACATTTTGAAACATATTTTCAATATTTAATATAATAAATTACATGGAATTTTAAATTACACAAAAAACTAGATATCTTAGGATTTACAATAGTTCATTTGATTGCATGTCTTTTGCAAAATATAAAATTGTAAATTTTTATATATGTTTTGCTCTAAAATTTTATTTGATTATCACAACTGCAATTTATTTTATATTTTAGTAAAATAATTTTTTAATACTTATTAAATTTTTAATTACTAGCAATAAATACAAATAAATTAAGAATGATCATATTTTTGAAATAAAAAATTTTAATTTAATATATCTTATATTGAAAACACACATACTATATATATAGTATGTATACGTAAAACATATCAAACTTAATTAATTCCGTGTCATGGAAGAAATTATATCTTTAAATTAATAGATACACATATCATCTTATATTATAAATGCATATGTATGAATTGAATAGCATATTGTATGTAGGAATGTATTTCTTTCTCTTTAGAGTATTTCATTTTTAATCTCTCTTATCTATTGTAAAAGTTGCTATAGTAAATATCAATAAATAAAAATTTTTATTATATAAAAATTTGTAATTTGTACGAATGTAATAATTTTATAACATTACTATTTATTACATTATTATGTTAAAATAATTTTGCAGAATTCTTTCAAAAAGAAAATTACTCAGGAGAATTTATATTTCAACTTTACTTTTCTATTTACTTATATATATATACTGCAGAATAACTGAAAGTTTTAACTTTTTACATGTAACTATCCAGAAATATAGTAAATTAATTTTACTAATATATAGGTAATAATGTGTAAAATAATGAAATAAATAAATACAGATGCATAATATCATGAAAGTTTGAATTTCTTTCATCTACAATTATAAATGAGAAAGTTATATTGTTCTTTTATTTTACTACTATCTGCACTAAAAAAGATATGTGAACATTATTGAGATGAACACTTCCTGTGACTTTGCATAAAAAACTATTTTATTATTCCCAAGACTTTTATCCCTTAAAAATATATATATTAAAAAAGCTATTACTTTTAAGTATACTATTTTCTTGCAGGCTTTCAATATCAGTTTCAATTTCTATAATTGTTTTTAATTGCAATATCTATAGTTGTTTTTAATTTCAATATCTATAGTTGTTTTTAATTCTCAGTACTTAAATATGCAGTATTATAATCTGTTTTTACTTATATACAGCAGAAAATTTCGCAGTATCAATAGTTTTTGTTTGAATTAAAAATATTGATATTTTAAATTATCTTAAAACGAAAAAAAAGCTATTGATTTTATACTGTTATTAAACCGACGTTTCGGAATTCAATCTTAATAAGAATTTATTAGATTTAGGATGTGCGAGCTGTTCTGTAAGATGAAAATGAGGTAAATGATATACTGTACATAACAGAGCTACTTCACCTTGTCGTAATTGAAATTCGCAACCATTCGCAAGAGGTCGCGATGGTAATTCTCCTTCGCAGACTAAAGCCCAATGGTGCGATCTTTTTTGTCGTTCTTTTTCATTTGAAAGAACAGGACTGGTTACAAAAAAAGGTTCCAAAAATGCACGTGGTGCTGCATCTTGAGCCAAACATCGTGCAAGTCGATTTAAAATAGATTCAACAGAATGACGCGGTTGTTGCCGGGTAACTCTTAAATATTTCTGTAAAGCCCTTGCCATAGATGGAAATACCGCTTGCGCAGCTTCCATGGGATCCATAGGACCAGGATTTGGAGTTGAGTCAATTTCTGAATGCAAGCGTTTTATATGTGCAAATGCTTCTTCAGCGGCAGTGATTAATCTAGCTCTACGTTTTCGTACTCTACGTTCATAATCATGTTCCTCATAAAAACGTTCATTGTGACTGGAATCTCTACGACGAGTTTGAGTTGTTATAACTGCTCTATCACCACTGCCTCCTCGTGACTGAACACTACCAGATACTCCACCATCAACTTCGTAAAACTTGAAGCTTGATTGTTTTCTGCCAGATTTTGATACTGGCAGTCTTTCTAAGTATGGATTATAAATAGGAAATTCTGTATAATATCTTTCTAATACCCATACTGCTGCTCGCTGTATTGACAATTGTCCTATTGCATAAGATCGCGATTCACCATCTGGTGATCTTACAACCTTAAATATTAACGTATTATTATAAGTATAACGTGTCAAGAATAGATACAAAGATATAAAAAATTAAATGAACTTACTTTAAGATAAAAAATAGGCTGCTGATGGCGAATTTCAATTAACAATATAGCAATATAATGTATGAATAATAGAGTATCTGCAAGAGTACCTGCATAATTCACTAGATTTTTATATTCTGTTATTTCACCATTAGCAGCAGTCTTAGCACTCTCAGTAACCTACAATTTATGGTGATATATAAATACTATAAGTGAAGAGATTTTAGAATATAAAATCATATACCTGAACAACATAAAATAACCAGTAAGTACAAATGCATAATGTAGTAAGAAGCAACACTCCTGCTCTGAATAAAAATATACGTGGCATAGTAGCATTTCTTGATCGTAAAAACACAGCCCAACTCCCAATACCTAATAGCACCAATTTAAAGGCTAAACCTAGTAATTGGCCTTTACATTCAGCATTACAAGATAATAATTGAAGCTTTTGTTGCATAGTTAGAACAGTTGTAGAATCAGGAAAAAATCCTAGTTTAGGCAATATAACCATTGTTATAGGACTAAGAAAAGCACTTAATCCAAGTATCATTGCTATAACCGGTCCCATAAACCGATTACAGGAACTAAATGATCCATCATTCTCATTTGCCCAATGGCTCACATCTTCAGTTGATTCTGATCTATCAGAAGTATTTCCAGTAACAGCTGTAGTATTTTCACCCCAATTCTCATCTTGAGGTAAAATTTGTACCTCTATAACTTCTTGACCCAGATTGTCGACACTATCTCCTCTTACATTAACAGTTGTTTGAAAAGGTGCCATTTCTGTAGAATCTAAATTGTGTCTTTCCTTCTTTTGACTACGATTTGTCCTTTAAAAAAATGTTTATATCATTTTGTTTAACAAAAAAAGAAAAAAAACTAAATTTTATTTTCTTTTAATTAATCCAAAATACCTAGTACTCCTGTGTGAATGTTGTCTATGGTGAGATTTAGAACTATGAGTACGATGATGTTTTTGAGAAGTTCTGCTATGATGGCTATGGCTATGCTCGCTAGCCCCCGACTTTACGCTCTCCGTCTCCATTCCCCGGCAAAGGCTACCGCCTTGCTGTTACCCCATAAGAACATACCCTCTTCCACTCGTAACTGAGCACCAAGCACATGTACTCTCGCAAATATATCAAATGTAAAATTGAAATCTTATTGAATTATAAAATAGCATTGTATGAACATGGCATTCTCCAAGCTTAAAATTGTTTCTGCTTCAATATTTTAAAACGAGGTATACATCTCTTTTAAATGTGATGTTAGTATCGTCAAAAATAATTATAATGAAGTTACTTATTTAATAGAGATTTCTATTAAAGTATTAAAAAAATAGACGCCGACACGCCTAACGTTTATTATTCTCACCCCCTCTAACTTGTCTTGTTACCACATTCCGAAATAATTGTTAGGGAAAGAACAGCATGACTTTCTAGGGATATTACATAAGCGAGAATAAACAGTATTAAATTTTTATAAAAGTGACAATATGTGTAATTCAAAAGACTTAGGCTTAATTGCTATTTTTCATTACTGGTTATAAGTTATTTTACAATGATATTGACAACGTTAATACAGCGTTGAAAATTAAAAATGTTGGTGCCAATGCTTCTTCGGATTTATGAATATTTCGTACAGCAGTGAATGTGCCGAATATTCTTAGAACGTAGCTTTAGGATTTTATTGTCATACCTAACGAACACAAACTACACAACAATTGGTCAAATTATTTGTTGGATTGCTTTTTCTTTTAAAGGTAGACTTTCTGTGTATATATGCATTCCACATATAATTTTTAATCAAATATCGTTCACTGAAAATAAGTTAGTATACTATAGATCGCCAATCGTGAAAAAAAAACAGCTTAGTGAGTTTACGATAATGCTAACAAAACTGTGACAGATGAAAAGTATTAAGTAACCGGTCAAACAGGTAGATAAATGATATAAACTGTAATATACAATAATATTATATCATAAATGATTCAAATTATTATATTATAAATTATAATTATGAATTAATTAGCTTCAAAGAACACTAATATTTTAATTATTTTAATATTTTAATTTCATATAAACATATCTATATCTCTTTAAAACTGGCAATTTTTACACTATAATGATAATTATATATAATATATTGAAAGAATTGTTGAAGATTATTATTATATGTTAATATTATCGTTTATTTTGAAGCTAAGATATATTATATGTTTATAGAAATATATAAACATGGCTCTACGCACATATGGTGATAAACCTATAAGTTTCCAAGTAGAGGAAAATGGAGAATATTATTGTATTGGATCTGAAGTGGGCAATTACTTACGCCTATTTCGAGGATCATTGTATAAACGTTATCCTGGAATGTTCCGAAGATCTATTACAAATGATGAGCGTAAAAAATTAGTAGAACTTGGTTTAAGTCAACATGTACTTGCATCCAGTGTGTCTCTTTTGAGAGCTAGTGAAGTAGAAGATATTATAGAAGGTAATGATGATAAATATAAAGCTGTATCAGTACATTCGACAGAACCTCCAGCTCCTAGAGAAGGAAAATCAAAAAAATCAATGCCTTGGGTACCTAGTTTACCAAATAGTTCACATTTGGATGCTGTACCTCAAGCTACACCAATTAATCGTAATAGAGTACATAATAAAAAAGTCAGAACATTTCCTTTATGGTAAATATGTTTTCTTCTTTATATTTATATAAAAACATAATTCTATAAAAGTTGATTTATACATGGAATAAATACATATTAGTACATGTAATGACAACAATGTTAAACTTCCATAAATTCTAAAAGTGATAAAATTCTATAAAATTTCTAAAAAAATTTAAATAATAGTTAATATTGTACACATTTTTTTAGTTTTGATGACACAGATCCATCAGCAAATTTAGAAAATGCAGCACAGCAAGAAATGTTAGTCCCAATTCGTTTAGATATGGAAATTGAAGGACAAAAATTGAGGGATACTTTCACATGGAATAAAAATGGTATGATACTTGTATACATCATGTATATGTATAATTTAATTTATCATAATAAAACAATTTGTTTGTTTTAGAAAGTCTTATAACTCCAGAACAGTTTGCTGAGGTGTTATGTGATGATTTAGATTTAAATCCATTAACCTTTGTACCAGCTATTGCACAAGCCATAAGACAACAAATAGAGGCTTTTCCACAAGAAACAATTTTAGAAGATCAATGTGATCAACGAGTTATAATTAAATTAAACATACATGTAGGCAATACATCCTTAGTAGATCAAGTAGAATGGGATATGTCTGAAAAAGAAAATAATCCTGAAAAGTTTGCAATGAAACTGTGTGCTGAATTAGGACTTGGTGGAGAATTTGTTACTGCCATTGCTTATAGGTAAATGAAAATAATTTGCATATTTATAAATAATTTATTAATATATCTTAAATAAATTTATTTTAGCGTACGAGGACAATTATCATGGCACCAAAGAACTTATGCATTTTCTGAAGCGCCTTTACCCACTGTAGAAGTACCTTTCAGACCACCTTCAGAAGCTGATCAATGGGCTCCATTTTTAGAAACATTAACAGATGCAGAAATGGAAAAGAAAATACGTGATCAAGATCGAAATACCCGGTAAATTACGTTATATATTTATATAATTTAATAATTACGTTTATAATTTACATACATTATAATACATTAGAATATATTATAATTTACATAATTTATAAATAATTACAATATTTTTAATGCTTTTGCTTTCAGACGTATGAGACGTTTAGCAAATACTACACCTGGATGGTAAAGCATGTAAATTACGAGGAAAAATTATATCGATAACGATAAAAAATCAAGGCGTCATATTTGTAGAGTTGCTCTGAGGACATTCATTAGAGTTTTTTAAACTTTGAATATGATAATAAACTTTTATGTTACAATTTAAATAGAGAATAAAGTGCATTTTAATAAAAATTTATACATTTATCAAAATCACAGTACAGCTAATATAAAACTTTATCTATGATCAAAAAGTATTCCTATCTTCTTGTAATCACTTCCTCTTTGCATAATCCCATTTACATATGATGTTATGTAATAGAAGAAATAAAAAAAAGTTCTTGATAACTAACATAATCCTAATTATTTTGAAATATATATCATGTGATCATATAATGTAACATTTATAATATCGATAACAAATTTGAAATGTTCTTCTATTAGCTAAAGTAGAGTAACTAATTCAGATTTTCATCTTTTTAAAAGTGTTTTATATTAAAATGAAATATCTAAGTATATAATTAAATAACTACTCATTTATTGATTTTACTTTAATTACTCGATCTTGATTACTCGGTCTTTATAATTCTATTTTAATAATGATATAATAGAAAAAATAAAATGTGCAAAATAGAATTTTTAATTTATTGAAAAATTGTTATTTAAAATTCTATAATATTTATAATTTACGTACAATTCACAATATAAATAAAAATGTATACTTGTAGAAAAAAATAATACAACAGAATTTGAATTAAAGTACATTATTAATATAAGAAATTTTGGTCATTCCACTTACAGTTGCCTATTCAATTGTGATTATGTACATTGCATTGAGTGTTAGGCTGTCAACGTATAAAAGTGTGAGTAAAAGAAGTTTGAGGAAGGGGAACGCGCATCTAAATGTATAGATATTAATCGACTCAGTGCGGATTTGATATCTAAAGGAGTAAGACTACTGACAAGCCAAAATAAATTCGAAAAATGGATATCAGTTCATTGATATATAAGTCATCGCAACAATCAAGTACAATTTCAACATTCCGTAATCCTTTTCCTCGCAGGCCTTGGCTCACTGATCATGGAGCTGCAGCGGCTGTCAGTAATAGCGGTATTAAAGGAATCGTAGCTGGTAAAATTTTTTTTTTATATTATAACATTTTTTATATTAATGACTTCATATTTAATATATGCTTAGTGATCTTTGTCACTTATTGAAGTGGTTCAGTAGAATGTAAATACATTAACATAAAAGAGGAATGTAAGTAAAACTATAGAGGAGTGAAAAAGATAGATAAACTGAGTCAGCGCATTCGACACATGATAGATTCAAAGATTAAGAAATGTTTAACCTTGGGGACACGCGCTTAAAGTATTCTTTTTTATTTTATATCATTTTTCGTGATTAATGAATTGTTTATACATTTTTCTTTTTAATGCGTATAAATGATTTTCATTAAGTTCTTTTTTAACGATTTTTAATAATTTTTTTAATAATAACAGAATAAGATATCAATGAAATTATGGATATATTTTAGGAGGCATTACCGGCGGTATAGAAATATGTATTACTTATCCAACTGAGTATGTAAAAACACAGTTACAACTTGATGGAAAAACTGGATCTGGTAAAGAATATTCAGGAATATGGGATTGTGTGAGAAAAACCATAAAAAATCGTGGATTCTTTGGTCTATATAGGGGTCTTTCAGTATTACTTTATGGTTCAATACCAAAATCAGGTGTACGTTTTGGTTCCTTTGAAAAAGTAAAAGAAATATTAGCAGATTCAAATGGAAAACTTACTACACAAAGAAGTTTTATAGCAGGATTATGTGCTGGTGCATCTGAAGCTATTTTTGCAGTTACTCCTATGGAAACTATTAAAGTAAAGTTCATAAATGATCAACGATCTGCTAATCCAAAATACAAAGGATTCTTTCATGGAGTACAAATGATTGTTAAAGAATATGGTAAATGGAATACTATATATTGTTTTAAATAGTTTATGCTAATAAATATAATTTTTTAATGCATAACATTTTTGTGTAACAATGTAAGTATGACTTGAAAAAGAACTAAACATTTGGTTATTCAATGCTCTAAGAACAAATAAAATTACTGTGAATCATATATGCAGCTAGTCTAATCAACTTTATTCAAGGTCAATTGAATAGTCTCAGTTTACAGTAAAATGAGTTTTTCATTCTTGTGACATGCAGTTATATGCTATTAGTTATAATTTTTAAATTATATATATAAAATATTATATATTATGTATCAAATAATAGATAAAATATAATTATGATTAATATTATAATAACAATTATAATTTTAATTATAACATTAAAGTTAAAATTGTAATTTTTTACTTATTAGGATTTAGAGGTGTATATCAAGGAGTAACACCTACAATTTTAAAACAAGGATCAAACCAAGCAATTAGATTTTGCACCATGGAAACGTTAAAAGATTGGTATAGAGGTGGAAACAAAGATGTAGCTATACCAAAAGTAGTTACTGGATTCTTTGGTGCATGTGCTGGAGCATTGTCTGTTTTTGGAAATACTCCAATTGATGTTGTAAAAACTAGAATGCAGGTAAATATTTCATTTTTATTAATCACTTATTAATCACTTAATTATTAAGTTACATATTTTTTTTTATATATATATATATATATGTATATATATATATATATATATATATATATATATATATATATATATATATATGTGTGTGTGTGTGTGTATGTACATAATATGGACTATATTTTTAGGGCCTAGAAGCTTCAAAATACAAGAATAGTATAGATTGTATGAAACAAATATGGATTAATGAAGGTCCAATGGCATTTTATAAAGGAACTGTTCCAAGATTAAGCAGAGTATGTTTAGATGTTGCCATAACATTTATGATTTACGATTCCTTTAAGGAAATTTTTGATCGACTTTGGCCTTGAAAATTATTAATTTTACAATTATATATTTTAAAATATCAGTGCAAATGTAGCTTTCATAATTTCATTTTTTATATAAGACATCTGTAAATGTACATGTTTAGAAATGCCTTTATTTCAAACATAATATATACCAAAATATTCTGTTGTAGTGGGCATTTGAACGAATGAAAATGAATAGATAGATGAAAATGAATAGACAATCCTACATTGAAAAATTCAGTTTTTATATTAATTATATCAATTTGAAAGTTACAATTGCATAGAACACAAATTTCATTACATATATTTTTTTATATAAATTTTTATTTAATACAGAAGGAAAATGGTGAATGATATGAATTTAGTACACAATTATTTGAATTTTTTTTTAAATATTTTTTTTGATTATGCATTAATTTATAAATTTTATTCAAAATACTGTTAAATATTTAACATTCCTATAGATTCAAATCATCGAATGAATTGAATGTTTATATTATGAAAGTGATTTGTACATGGTATACATAAGTTATGTAGATATATGTATGTATGTATGTATGTATGTATGTATGTATGTATGTATGTACATATATATCATTCATTCCAAGAAATATTGTACAGTTTCGGTACAAAAATATAAGAATTGTTAATTAAATAACGGAACTAATAAAAAATGTTTATTATATGAGCGAAGGGAAATAATTGTTTTTTTTATTAATTTTTTTCAATATAATAATATCAAAATAAAATTAGGATAGGTAAAAGATATAAAAAATTATTAATCAAAGACATCTTTATGTATATACAGATTTATTACATTCCATTGAATATAATTATCTTCGCTCAAATATTGTAATATATTTTAGCATTAATTAAACATAAAAATTTAATTATAATGGCTGTGACATTCAGATGGAGATAAACATGTAGTTCCTTTAAAATAGAGACTTTGTAATCTCATAATATTTACAAACAATCTATTTTATTACTTTAACAATAACATATAATGGTTCATGGTAGTTTGTATTATTTATACGTTCAAATATATATATATCTTTACAGCATTGTTTTTAAATTTTTTTATGGAAACCCATTACTATTTTTAAAATATAAAAAGACTTTAAAAATATAAAATAATTTTGTACCTAAAAATCATATATATATATATATATATATATATATATATAGTTAAAATAAAAAATATATATATAATTATTATTGTTCCACAAATAATTGTGATAAATAATTTCAATTAAAAAGAATATATTTGTAAAAAATAGTATTTGTAAACAATGTATTGATATAAGTTTGAAATTAATTTAGCATGATTACTAATTGTTTAATGTTATTGTTCATGCAGAATATTGTATACATTACATAATATTGTTATGCATATAAAATGTAATATAATTTTAAAACTACAGTTTATAAAACCATATACTTATGTATCATATATTATTTCAATGAGTGAATTCTTCATTTCTATACGTACATAGTCCAGGTATATATACGTACATAGCAGCGTAAATTTATGAGCTATACATGTAAGACCCAATATAATACAAAGATACAGGAGCAGACAGTGCCGGCCCCACTCTGGGCCCAAGGGGGAGCCTGGGGTCACATTCCAAGATGGCTGTGCCTGAGGAATGCAGTGGGTGCCCTCCTAAGACGCCTTCCTCCCTCCTTTTTTATTAATCGAATCAATTCATCTATCCTAGCGAATATTTTGATTATACTAGGACAAAGTAGTTCATTTCAACGTGTATCCGGTAAGTGCTGCCTGCGTTTGAAAGCAGCATTTTATAGAAAATAAATGTGAACGAGGAAAAGAAAGGTGGTGTGAGAAGACCTAGAAAGGTCTTATACTCTAAAATGTATGGTCTTATCTAATGAAGCTCTCTTGCTGCAGATAATGCTCATCCAGGAGGATGCTACCTGCTCGTCTTAAGCAATGTCTCATAGGGATATCTCTGAGGTAATAACAGGAATTTACAGCATATGATGATGAATATTACTATCATACTTTATTATTAAAATCGTTTAATTTTATAAATCTTATATTTTTTATTTTTATGTTATTATAAATTTTTTTATGTTATTATAAAATGGTCTGATATTTTTTTTGATGCGAAATTATATATTTCTTATAAAATAATATTTTTTAACTTTAATAATTAATGTTAAAATGAAATAACTCTAAAATATGAATGAAAATAGCTATTTAAATTTTTAATCATTATAATACATAATATAATTTTAAAATAAATATATGTAGTGAATCATACTTATATATATATTATATAAACAAATTATATATATATATGTATATATATATAAAATATTGAAGGTGGAGCCCGAAGGTACGTCGGCCTTGGCTGCTGGATCAAGATCATTGTTTTTAGAAACTGTACGTCGTAGCAATGCAGCATGTCAAAATGGTGATTATGCTCTTGCTGCAAGCTTGTATACAGAAGCTCTTGCTTTGGATCCACTCAGCCATGTGCTATATTCAAACAGGTCAGCTGCCCGTCTCAAAATGGGTTTATTTGCACTTGCTCTTCAGGATGCAGTTAGAGCTACTGAACTTAGTCCTCAATGGCCAAAGGTAATGGTTTCTTCTTTTTTTTTCTTGTTACTAATCAAATAATTAGCAAAATCAACCTCTGTATTAGGCATACTACCGTCAAGGAGTAGCCTTACAATGTTTAGGAAGACATGGAGAGGCTCTTGTGGCCTTTAGTACAGGTTTGGCACATGACCCTTCTAATTGTCAACTTTTGTCTGGTCTTGTGGAAGCATCTTTAAAATCACCATTGCGAGCAACATTAGAACCAACATTTCAACAACTACGTGCAATGAAACTTGATGAATCTTCTTTTGTTGTCATCTCTGTTGTTGGTCAAGAACTTCTTGGAGCAGGACAGTATAAAGCAGCAGCTGGGGTATTAGAAGCTGCTCTAACTATTGGTTCTTGTAGTTTAAAATTACGGGGTTCTGTATTTTCTGCTCTATCTAGCGCATATTGGGCATTAAATTCTTTAGATAAAGCTATCAATTATATGCAACAAGATTTAGGTAAATATTTAAAATAAATGAAATAATAAATATGTATCACTAGAGTATTTCTTTATATTCTAAATAAAAATATTTATAGGTGTCGCACGATCTTTAGGAGATACACAGGGTGAATGTCGAGCTCACGGAAATTTGGGCTCAGCATATTTTAGTAAGGGCAGTTTTAAAGAAGCTTTAACAGCACACAGGTATCAATTGGTTTTAGCTATGAAGTGCAAAGATACTCAGGCTGCAGCGTCTGCTTTAACTAGCCTGGGTCACGTTTATACAGCTATTGGTGATTTACCAAATGCACTTGCATCTCATAAACAATGTGTACAATTAGTAAAACAAATGGGAGATCGACTTCAGGAAGCTCGAGAAATAGGAAATGTAGGAGCAGTTTATTTAGCAATGGGAGAATTTGAAAGTGCTGTTGATTGTCATACACAACATTTGAGAATAGCAAGACGCTTAGGAGATCGTGTAGAAGAAGCAAGAGCTTTCAGTAATTTAGGTTCATCTCATCATTATCGTAGAAACTTCGGTCAAGCAATGGCTTATCACGAAAATGTTTTAAGAATAGCTCAAGAACTCGGTGACAGAGCAATAGAAATGAGAGCTTATGCTGGATTGGGTCATGCTGCAAGATGTGCAGGTGAACTTTTTATAATAATCAATAATAAGAAACTCAATAAACTAACTACTAATTAACATTATTGTTAACAGTAGTGTAATAAACTTTTTTCAAAATAAAAATATTTGTATTTAGGCGATCTTGCACAAGCCAAGCTGTGGCACCAAAGGCAACTTGATGTTGCTTTAGCTACAAAGGATAAAGTTGCTGAAGGACGAGCATGTAGTAATTTAGGTATAGTTTATCAATTACTTGGTGAACATGAAGCAGCACTTAAATTACATCAAGCTCATTTAGGAATTGCTAGATCATTAGGAGATAAAGCTGGTATGGGTAGAGCATATGGAAATATTGGAAATGCTTATAATGCATTAGGATATTATGAACAAGCTATTAAATATCATAAACAAGAATTAACAATAAGTAAAGAGGTAAATTGTTTAAGATATGTAATAAAAAATAAATTTAAGAATAAATTTATATTATAAAACATTATAAAAATTACTGTGTAATATAGGTCAATGACCGTAGTTCAGAAGCTAGTACACATGGGAATTTAGCAGTAGCATATCAAGCTGTACAGGGTCATGAAGCAGCATTAAGACATTATAGAGCTCATTTAGCTATAGCACGCGAATTAAAAGATACAGCTGGTGAAGCATGTGCATTACTCAATCTTGCCAATTGCTTATCATCCCGTGGTAGATTTGAAGAGGCCGTCCCATATTATGAAAATTATCTTATGTTATCTCAGGAGTTACATGATGTTGAAGGAGAAGCTAAAGCATGCCATTTCTTAGGTTATGCTCATTATTGTTTAGGCAATCATCGTGAAGCTGTTAGATATTATGACCAAGATTTAGCGTTAGCTAAAGATTTACAAGATAAATCTGGGATGGGTAGAGCTTATTGTAATTTGGGATTAGCACATTTAGCTCTTGAAAATTTAGATACTGCACTAGAATGTCAAAAATATTATTTGGGTAAGAATGTCTTTCATTTACATATTCATATTTAAAAAATGTTAATATATTTAATATTAATCAATTATTTTTGTATGTAGCTATTGCGCATATGACTAAACATTTAGCTGGAAAATTTCGTGCTTTGGGAAATATTGGTGATTGTCTTTTACGTCTTGGTGAAGCTGAAGAAGCGATAAAAATGCATCAACGACAATTAAATTTAGCACGACAAGCAGGTGATCGCAGTTTAGAAGCTGCTGCTTATGGAGCTTTAGGTATTGCACATCGGACAATAAAAAATCTTGATAAAGCATTAGGATTTCATACTCAAGAACTAACTTTAAGACAAGAAGCTAGTGATTTACGTGGCGAATGTAGAGCTCATGGGAATTTAGGAGCAGTCCATATGGCACTAGGTCAATACACTCACGCAGTAAAATGTTATCAGGAACAACTTGAAAGAGCAAAAGAATTAGCCGACTCAGGGGTTGAAGCGCAAGCTTTAGGTGAATTATATTTATATCTAAACTTGAATTTACAATAATAATACTTACTACCTTTTCTTTAAATAGGAAATTTAGGAATAGCTAGACTTAACATGGCACATTATGAAGATGCAATTGGATACTTTGAACAACAGTTAGCAACTTTGGAACCATTAACCACAGGCACAGCTCTACTGAATAAAGCTAGAGCACTTGGTAATTTAGGCGATTGTTATGAAGCTTTAGGAGATCCAGAGGAAGCTATTAAATGTCATGAGCAACAATTAGCAGCTGCTACGAAATTGAAAAGTATTAGAGAACAAGAACGAGCATATCGAGGTTTAGGTCGAGCTCGGGAAGCAACTGGAAATTTACAAGATGCTCTAGTTTGTTTTGAAAAAAGATTAGTGGCTGCACATGAAGTTGATAGTCCAGAATCGAGAGGCGCTGCTTATGGAGATTTAGGTAGCTATATTTTAAAACTTCTTTTTAATTTTTCTTTGTGTGTATTATAAATTATTAATCTCAATTATAGGTCGAGTACATGCTGCATTAGGCAACCACGAACAAGCTGTTAGTTGTTTATCACATCAACTAGCTCTTGCTAGAGGACTTGGAGATAAAGCTGCTGAAGCAGAAGCTGCTAGTGGATTAGGGGCTGTTCATTTATTAATGGACGATCCAAATTCTGCATTACGACATCATCAATTGGAACTTTCAATTGCCGAAGCTTTAGATGCAGCTGGGTTACAAGCTAGAGCTTGTGCAAATTTAGGTGTTACTCAAGAAGCTTTGGGACAATTTGAAGAAGCAATAAGATTACAAGAACAATCATTGAGTCTTGCAGCAGCAGCTGGAGATCAACCTGCAAGAGCAGCTGCATTTTCCAGTTTAGGTCGACTTCATCATTTATGTGGTGACCTATCACGAGCTTTGAGTTACTTACAATCTGGATTATCGTTATCTGAAGGATTAGGAAGAAGAGAAGAAGCAGCTAGATTAAGACACAGACTTGGTCTTGTTCATTGGGAAGCAGGAGAAGCAGTTATTGCTGTTGAGCATTTAGAAAAGGCGGCAAATTTATTAGAATCATTAGATGGTATTTCTTCAACTCTTATTTGTGGACAGCCAAACAAATTTGAATTATTATCAGAAACGTATAGAATGTTACAAAAAGTACTAATCAGTTTAAATAGAGCTGAAGAAGCTCTAAATTGGGCAGAAAGATCGAGACGAACTAAAAGTAATTGTTTGGATGATGCTGCGCATTATTCCGAAATTATTGATAGACAACGTGGAGTTATTTTATATTATAGGTAATTACCAATAACGAAAAAATGAAAAATTGTAATTCCATGATACAGGTAGTAAATATTAAATAACATTTCAGTGAAGTAGGATGTGAATTACATGCTTGGTGCTTAGCTCCTGGCCGGGGATTATTACGATTTCATTCTACTAGTTTGGATGATGGTATAGGATTAGAGAAACGAGTTTTACAAGCACGAGAAGCTCTTTTAGATGAAACAAATGAACTTGTTGAAGAAACAAAAATACCATCGAGAGGACATCATCTTAATGCTAGTTCATACAGTTTAAGCAGTCTGTTTAGTGTGGGTTCAGTTAGTTCACGAGCAGGAAGTGCTCGATGGGGGCGAGGAACCAAAGGACCCACATGGCAATCACCATTGCCAATTCAAGTACTTTACGATTTACTTTTAGCACCTTTTGAAGATCTTTTGCCACCAGCAAGAAAGGAATTAATTATGGTAGTGGAGAAGTCATTATATTTGGCACCACTTCCAGCTTTACAATCAAACCCTGGAGAAGATTATTTATGTGAAAGATTTTCTTTATTAGTAGTACCGTCTCTTGCAGCTTTAAAAAAGCGATCAAAGACTCCTATACCAGAAGGAGGTGCAACAGTAGCTGCGCTAGTTGCCGGAAATCCTGTTCTTCCTGAAGAAATTAGGGAAGAATATAGATGGTCTGAAAGTGTTGCTTCTACTGAAACAGAATCTGAAATTGTTGCTGAATTATTAGAAGCCCGTGCTTTAACTGGTAGGTATCACCATAAATTTAATTAGATTAAGTAAATAATTAAATAAATAATTTTCATTATTTTTACTGATAGGGACAGAAGCAACGAGATCAACTGTTTTAAGATCTTTACCTGATGCAGAATGTGTACATTTAACAGTACCAGTTTTTTGGAATTCTGCAAGTTTAGCATTAACTGCAGATCCTTGTGAAGATCCTTCTGTAAGACCAGAATATTTGCTAAGCTATTCAGATATTACAAAACTAAGAATAGCTGCTCGTTTAGTTGTAATATCCAGCGGCCACGGATGGAATAGTACAGAAAATACGACTTGTACGTCAGACGGCGTACAAAATTTAGCCAAAGCTTTGTTAAATGCAGGAGCACAATGTGTACTAATAGGAATGTGGGCAGTTCCACCTACAGCTGGTAGTATATTATTACGAGCATTTTATAGTGCTATGTTACAAGGTGCTAGAGCATCGAGAGCATTGGCAGAAGCTATGCAAACAGTTCAACATACAAGACATTTCGCGCATCCTGCAAATTGGGCTGGTTGGTTACTTATCGGAGGAGATGCAAGATTGTCAAACAAGGTATGAATCTTAAAAAATTTATTAAATTTAAGAATTCATATGTACATATAGATTTGTTCAAATCTATATTTAGGTTGCTTTAATGGGACAAGCATTGGCTGAATTACTACGTGGTGGTCCTGAACAAAGTCGTGATGCATTACGTGTAACACTTCATTTAGTAGAAAAATCATTACAGCGAATACACCGTGGACAAAAAAATGCTATGTACACAACTCAGCGTAGTATTGAAAATAAAGTGGGAGCAGCCACTGGTTGGCGAGAACTTTTAATGTCAGTAGGTTTTAGATTTGAACCTGCTGGAAACGGAATACCATCTTCTGTATTTTTTCCACAAAGTGATCCAGAAGAAAGATTAACAAGATGTAGTGCAAGTTTGCAAGCATTATTGGGATTGGGGCCATCATCATTGCATGCACTTGCTAGATTGTTGCAAGTAATAAAGGAATTTATTCTGATATTGTTAAGAATTAATAATTGATTATACATATTAAAGCACTTTTTATTATAGGTACCAGAAGCAGCAGAAGATGTCATTGCTGCGATGAGAAGAGCTGCGTGTGCAACAGAAGGTCAAGAAGTTACATTGCCAGTACAAGTATGGAGAGCATCAGGATCTCATGAATTATTTGCAAGTTTGGGCTTTGATCTCATGGAAGTTGGTCAATCAGAAGTGACATTAAGAACAGGAAAACAAGCATCACGAAGAGCTGTTCAATTTGCTCTTCAAGCTCTTTTAGCTTTATTTGGTAAGTCTGAAGTGATAATATAAATAAAAATATAAATATATCATATCTAAATCCTAATTATGTCATTAGATACCCAAGAAGCACCTAAAAGTTTGACTTTAGATTCTAGTAGTTCAATGGAAAGTTTAGCTTCTGTTACTCATATTGAAAAAAATGTCATAGAACGGCCTAGATTAGGAGGTGCATTTGCAAATTATGTTCGACATCGAGGTGAACCTGATGGGAAAACTATGGAACCACCAAATGTTCCAATTTCTACATCACGACAACCATGTCAAAATAGTGGAGGTATATATAATTCAACTAAAACTAAAATTTAAGTAAATGTTATAATGATATGCATATGTTTTATAGGTGAATCAGATGTTGCTTTCACTCCTAGTCCTCCCGTAGCACTCAATTTGAATCATCAAACACGTATCAGAAATCTTTACCCAGATCAAAGTATAAGACCAGGATCTAGTTCAAGCAGTTCAGTAACAGATTGGGATAATGGTCATGCAACAGTTTTAAGACGACAACCATTACCACCTTTACCAGCAACAGTACTAGAAAGATTAAGCGTACGAACAGAAATTGGATCCAATTCTCCAAGAAAACCTCGTCATCCTACAACAACTGATGATATTTGTTCTCAGGCTGATTCTACACAACCTGCAGAAACACATAATCAAAATTTAAGAAACGTAGCCACATCACTCACTAGTTTAACACGTGAATTAACGCCTACAATTTCAGATGTATACCATGAGCGAAATTTAGGATTAGGATTGGCACCATCTTTGTCAAAATTATTAGAAGAAGTAGGTTCTGTGACTGGAAATGAAGAAAATCAATCAACGCGAACAAATCATAATCAAACTCAAAATTGGATGCAAAACGAAGAATTATGTCGAAGAGATGAAGCTGATGGTAGATCTATTGCTGAGTCACAATGTAGTGCTACCAGCTCTAACAAAATACATCGGAAAGCACCTCCTCCTCCAGTGTAGATTATTTATATATTATTTATAAACATTAAATGAAAATAATTATAAATGAAAGTAATAGCACGAGGTACCAAAGAATGGAAGATATTTTATTGGAAACAAATTTTTAATTTTTTGTGATTCGAGCTGGGAATAATTTACAATAATTGCTTATTTTATTACAATATGACTCTAATTATGAATTTTTTGCATAATATATTTCCAAATATAAATATCAATAAATGCCATTTACTTACACTGATAATAAAATTCAATAACTAAACTAATTAAACTACATACAATGGCACCTAATGCTATACCCGTGTTTCTTAATGCAAAAGTGTATTATATTACCATTAAAATGGAGATTGTTCATATATGTTATATTTAAATTTATTAAATGAAATTTATTTTATATAGTGCGATCAGTGACTGAAGTAATATTTCAAATTAATAATCAAATTTGTATAAAACATTAAACTAAAAGATTATACTTTTTCATTTTCGAATATATTGATGCATTTTTTTATAAAATTATGCATCATTTTATAAAAATTATGTGTATATATTTATACTTACATCATCGACAAAATATGAAATTATTGTACTTAATTATCTTTTAGCATATGAATAAAAATTTAATAATCAGTAAAGCATCAAGAATTAAGTTAAAATAAAATACACTTAAAAGTTAGTTAAAAAATTAAAATACCTTTATTTTGTGAATTATTAAAACAATTTTAAATGACCTGTTACTTGATCTATCAATTTAGCTGGACCTGGACCAATAGCACATACTGTTCTGCTTCCTGGCTTTACTTGTGTATGTCCAGCATCCTTTATTGTATTTGCCAAAAGTCCTACAGCTCTAGCTTGTTTTGCTATTTCTTTCAATGCACTATTACTATCCACCTAAGCGTTTTGTTAATTTAGTAAAAATTTCAACATAAATTTCAACTTAAAATAATAATATTAAACATAATACTTTAACAGTAATTTTGGCTTGTCCACATTTTTCCCAAGCATGTAAAATTTCAGGATAGTTTTCAGCTGCTTTATAAGCCGCAACGGCAGCATGAGCACATTGTGCTGCAACTTTTCCCTTTCCCATTTTTAAGTCAGTTCTGATAACTAAAATAAGTTTGTAATTATCTGAATTCATCTGTTAAAATTAAAAGTTATTATTTTTATTTTGTGAATTTACTATATTAATTATACAGAAGTATAAATAAATTTTAATTTTACTTACTATGTCATTGACGTTACTATCATTATTAAACAATTGCAATCTTTTTCTACTTCTTCCCGCTATTATTTTATATAAACAGTAACCTATTATTGCTGCAATACTGAATCCTACCTTTGCATCAGTGACTTTAAGAATTATTTCATCCATCTTGCACAAGCTTATTGAAATTCTGTAAAATATCACATTATCATAAATTACAAATAGCCATAAACTTAAAATTTATTTAATTTTTCACAAAAAATTTAATTTTTAAAATAAATAAAAAAGGTACTTACATAAAAAAAAAATTTCATAAAACGTATGTTTTCTTACATTAATTTTTTATTTTGATATGAACAAAACTTAGGTTGTTGCTCCATGTACTAGCTTCTAAAAGGTTAAGTATCATTTTTGAACATATACAATATATACGTAATAGTATATCATATAGCACACAATGTACATAGTGCACCAATTGTAAACTATGAAGTATTGCATTAAATTTTAACTTATTTTCAAAAATACATAAAATAATATATTTTTTTAACATTTACAATAAATTCAATAAAAAAGTAATATATAACTTATACACGCACTCACAAATACATACATGAATTTTTGATTGACTCAAAAAATATTTCATGTCCTAGGTATTATATATTTTTATATTTTATTCAAAATATAAAACTGTTTGATAAATTTGAAAAGAAAATATTCTGTATGTTTGTATAGATTATTACACATGCATCTGTTGTGCAATAATTTCACTATGAACGCGCTACAAAGTTACAGCGAAGTGCGCCTCTAATAATGCGAATGTTTTCAGATTTAAAGTATTCTCAGTGACCCAAGCAGAAGACAAAAAAAAAGTAAAATTAAATGCGAATTACGGCGCATTCGTTTCTTCGTTTGTATATCTGTGGCGCGTTTTGGTTCATACGCGGTTCAACAAACACCCAATGTGGCGCTTGAGTTTGGAAGGTTATGGATTAAAGCTTCGGGGTGTGGCATCATATTGTGTTTTATAAAATAAATGAAATATTGCCTGCTTTTATGACGGATGAATTCATTTTCTAAACATAACGAATGTGAAGTATCTCCTCTCAACGGTGCGTGGTGATGCTTATAAAATTTCAACCACCGTTTGAAATTTGCTTTTCGAACGGAATAAAATTTTTTAAATGTACTTATGACGATATCATGTTTTTTGGTGCTTTAATCTGAAATCTGTGTTGTTTGAATGAAAAAGTATAAAATTCAAGAATGCTTTTAATATTTTTCAATTAATTTACATATTGATGCGTATTTATGTGTAACGTTGACACAAGGTAGTTGATTGTTGCTTGGTAGGATACGGTCCATGAAATCACGTGTATTAAAATCTACGTGGGATGTTGGGCGCTATCACCCCCACGAACCCCCACGAGTATACCGAAATGTCTCGGTTAGCCGACTACTTTGTTGTGGTCGGCTACGACCACGAAAAAGAGAGTAAGTTATTATTTTTAACAGAAGTTATATTTAAAAAAATATATCGACATTATTGATACAAATTTAATATGTATAACAATAAGTAATCATTTTATAATAAATATTTTGAATATATATGTTCAATGAATAATATTATTCAAAAATATTTTTGACAAAGATTTTTATTTGTATGTTACTAAATTATATACGTTTACGAAATTAATACTGTTTATTAAAGTATAATACAATGTATAATATTATTTATGTTTATAGGAGGGGGTATAAGTAATGGAATCATTTTACAAAGATTTCCAGAAAAGGATTGGTCGGATACACCATTTATAGAAGGCATAGAATGGGTAAGATTTTTCTTTATTATATTTTTACGTCTTATATAATTTTTCTTAAATTAATTTTTTTTCTTTGTAGTTTTGTCAGCCACAAGGATGGGCCTTATCTACAGAAAGACAAGAACCACGATTTTTTGTATCTATTTTAACTGATATTGATGCAAATCGTCATTATTGTGCTTGCATGTGTTTTAATGAAACAGTATCTATTTTGCCAAGTAAGCCTGTAGATGAAGAAGAAGATCCTGTAGATGGTGATAGTCGTTCCTTGGTTAGAACAATACCCGCAATTGCACATCACAGCATTATGTATGCACCTAAATGTCTGGTGCTGGTTTCCAGACTTGATTACATTGAAACTTTCAGAGTATGTAACATTTCATGTATTTTAAAAACATGATTATATTTCTACGTGTAACAATATTTTTATATTGTTGATTCAGAATTGCCTTGGTATTATATATACAGTGTATGTAGAAAATCTTGGAATACCATTAGAAACTCTAGTAGGAAACATATTAGGTTGTATACAAGTACCACCCGCTGGTGGGCCTCAAGTAAGATTTAGCATTGGTGCAGGTGATCGTCAAGCACTTCAACCTCCAATTAGTCCTTCCCTTCCAATAACACACAGTAGTGTAAATCTTTTATTTCAACAACTAGGTAAGAGTAAAACAGCTATTATTATAAATATACTTTTGTACATATTTTTCACTAAAGTATATTTATATTTTATAGGAATCCGTAATGTACTAGTATTATTCTGTGCTGTTATGACAGAACATAAAATACTTTTTCATTCTGCAAGTTACTCACGATTAACTGAAGGATGTCGTGCTCTTACTGCACTAATGTATCCATTTAGATATACGCATGTTTACATTCCTCTTTTACCAGCAGCTTTAGTTGAAGTACTCAGTACACCTACTCCGTTTATAATGGGTGTACATAGTTCACTGAAACATGAAGTTGCAGAACTTGTAAGATGTTTAACAGAGTTATATGATATTATCTTTAATTCTATTGTATTATTTATTAAATGTTATATCCTTTTACAGATGGATGTAATAGTTGCTGATTTGGATGGAGGTTCTATTATGGTTCCAGACGGGGTTGCACTTCCATTACTTCCAGAACCACTTCTTTCACAAACACAAGATGCGTTATCTTTAGTATTACAACCAGAATTGGCCTGTGCAGATTATGCTTTCCCACCACTTGCAACAAGAGCTCCTCACTCTCCTATGTTAGATAAAGAATTACGAGCAGTTTTTATGAGAACTTTTGCTCAACTATTGCAAGGATATAGGAGCTGCCTAACATTAATAAGGATTCATCCTAAACCTGTCATAACATTTCATAAGGTTTTTAATTATTATTCGTTTTATTACACTTCACAGTGTATATAGATACAAGAAAAACATGTAAATTATACTTTTTATTTCTAGGCAGCTTTCTTAGGAGAACGTGGCTTAACGGATTGTGATTTTACAACTAGAGTTCTGGATTGTATGTTTTTTACTTCCTTTATTGCAGAAAGGGGACCACCGTGGAGGCCTTGTGATGTATGGGATGAGTTGTATAATAATTTAAGTGATCAGTTAAAACAAGAAGCACAAGATCATAGTAAGTAATACTAATGAAACATACAGTTAATAATAACGAAACATATAAAATATTTACAATAAATATTATTTCGATATTAGGACTTATTTTAACACATATTCAAGAATTAGCACAACAATTGTACACAAATGAAAATCCAAATCCACAACCATATGTACAAAAAATTTTAAAACCACCTGAAGGGGCATTTGCTAGAATACATCAACCACTTTTACCGCGCATTAATCCAGAACAAGTTCAAGCAATTATAGATGAAGGTCTTGCCAAAAATAATCTTAAAGTTAGGTTTGTATTAGAATTATATTTTTATATATCATATTTTATATCAGTTATCTTAACTATAATATTTTATACTTACACTCAACATTTTTTGTACAGATTATCATCATTAAGACCGTCACAGCCTCGTATTGTACCTATGGGTCCACATATTTCATTTGTTCATGATACTAGACATTTGGTTAGCAATTCTGCACGTAGACTGGAAGTTCTGCGTAACTGTATAAATTGTATATTTGAGAATAAAATATCTGATGCCCGTAAAACATTTCCAGCTGTTTTAAGAGCCTTGAAAAGCAAAGCTGCTCGTTTAGCACTTTGCATGGAATTATCACAGCATGTTGTTGGAAACAAAGCCATGTTAGAACATCAACAATTTGATCTTGTAGTTCGGCTAATGAATTGTGCATTACAAGACGATTCATCCATGGATGAGCATGGAGTTGCTGCTGCACTTCTTCCCCTTGCTACAGCATTTTGCAGAAAACTTTGTACAGGAGTAATTCAATTTGCTTACACTTGTATTCAAGAACACCCTGTATGGCAAAATCAACAATTTTGGGAAGATGCTTTCTATTTGGACGTTCAGAAAGATATCAAGCGTTTATATCTTCCTGGTGAAAATTCTCCACCACGGCTTATAAATGATGGTATATTAAGTCCTATTAGTCCACGCGATGGCAAGGAATTTCCATTTCGTGATCGATATTCAATTTATCAAATTCAAGAACCATCAGCTCTTGAAATAGCTGCTGAACAAATGAGGATTTGGCCAACAATCGATCCAGAAAAACAAAAGGAACTTATTGCAAGTGAAGAAAGTACTATGTATAGTCAAGCAATTCATTATGCAAATAGGATGGTTTATTTATTGGTTCCATTAGACATAGGGGCAAAAACACATCGTCAAGATAATATTTATGATGATGAAAGAGCAAGTAATAGTATTACAAATAGCGTAGCAAGCGATAGTGGTGATGCAGAGTCTGGTTTTGAGGAAACTGATCCTGGGGAAACTGGTAGTGCTGTTATTCGGATGGTTTCACGATTTGTAGATCGTGTTTGTACTGAAGGAGGTGTAAGTGCTGAACATGTTAGATGTTTACATCAAATGGTTCCTGGCGTTGTTCATATGCATATTGAAACTCTTGAAGCAATACATAGAGAAAGCAAAAGATTACCTCCAATACAGAAACCTAAAATTCTGACGCCTAATATGTTACCTGGTGAAGAAGTTATTATGGATGGTTTGCGTGTTTATCTTTTACCAGATGGCAGAGAAGAAAGTTCGGCAGGATTACCAAAGATACCACCACTTTTACCAGCAGAAGGAGCAATTTTTCTTACTAATTATAGAATTGTATTTAAAGGAATACCTTGTGATCCATTTGCTTGTGAACAATTAGTAGTGCGTGCTTTTCCTGTAACATCTTTAACTAAAGAAAAGAGGGTTGCTGTGCAGCATTTAGCACATCTAGATCAATGTTTGCAAGAAGGTCTTCAATTACGATCATGTACTTTTCAATTGATAAAATTGGCTTTTGATGAAGAAGTTACACCTGAGAATATTGAAACTTTACGAAAATTAGTCCATAAAGCTCGGTATCCACCACATATTTTTCATCATTTTGCTTTCAATGGACAAATATTAGTTACTCAGACTGCACATCATAAAGGAAAGGAAAAAAATGCTACTCTTAAGTATGTAAC